CCTCTTTCTCTCAATTATTTTTTTTTCCATATAAAAATACATTTTGAATTACAGAAAATTTATGGTTTCCTACATATATGCGTTTTGAAGTGCTTTCTAAAAGTACATGTGCTTGCTGAAATATAATTATACGTACTTGTTACTTAGGGAACTTACTTTAAAAGAAAAAAATATATATAAAAATATACATTTCTCTACACAAACATAGTCAAACCATAATATAAAGGTTAAAATTTTTAAAAAGGACTGTTGGAGAACTGAGCTTTTTGTCAATTACGGGCCCAACCCTTGCACATAGGTAGGTAATGTTTAAACCTCGCACGACGGATGTAAACAAATGTAAATCACGCGTGGCTTTACAACACATGTGCGCTGGCGAGGTTAAAAAACCTAACTTCTTGTATCAAATCATGGCTCAGAAAAAAATATGGAAGTTTTACAACATGCATGCTTGCATGTGATAAAAACGTAGGTACTATATTGTCTTCACACGTACTCGTCACTGAATTCAATATTATTTTTCACTTAACATAAATCACTACGTTATGTAAACATTAATAAGAACTAGACATGAGTTAAGAGCTTATTATACATATAGGACCATATCTACAGTTCATCAATTTACTAATGCTGTGACCATTTGATAACCCCTCATGGTCACTTAGTAAAATTCTCCGCAAAAGCTCATGCTGTGAAATGAGCTCCCTGCCTATGTTTTCCCTAGAGACTACAGCATGGAGTTCTTTAGAAATAGTATATTAAAGTTTCTTCAGGGTGATAGCCCTTTTATTCTTTTTTTAATTTTTCAGCTATTACTTCTATCGCTATGTTTTAATGCGACCTTCATATCTGTGTTACATTGACTATCTTACATTTCAGAGGGGATATATGCTAGTTTTCCACCTTTGTGATAAAAAAAAAAAAACTATCAATTTGTGTATAATTATATATTTAAAAAAAATAATTTAACTAAATATATTAACTTAGGAATATGCGTATGCCTATTCTAAAATATATATCTACGAAATTACTGAAAACTAAATTATTGTTAAGATTCATTTTATGTATAACTAATAGTTTCGTTCCCTTCAAAACAGTATTCACAGCTGTCAGTCTTTACCAGTATGATACAAGTCATATGCTTATGGACAATTAATAAACATTGAAGCACTTTATGAGGTGCAGATATCTCAAAGGTCAGACGAGACAAAAGGATCGAGTCCAGGATGCGGTATTACCCAGCCCTTTGTTATCTTACAGCTCTAACAAAATATACAAGAGACCAAAATGTAACCACAGCGCGCCCGCACGCGGGTGGCTATGTTTTGACGACGCGTCATTGTTCAAATAACATAGCCCAAATACTGCTTAGTCTAAATTCAGCGTAGTTATAATAGTTTCCGCAATTAATTTCGTAGGTGCTGCATCATCGAATTGTCTGTAAACCGAGGCAACGCTAGATGAACTTATCGCACTCAGCTACGACCAGCCACGTGTAACAATTATGTAAACACTTGTATCTGATTGCATAAATAATTTTCTACTAACTTCAAAAAAGAAGAAGGTTCTCAATTCAGGTTATATTTGTTTATGTTTGTTACTGCAAAACTCTATCATTTTTAAACCAATTTAGATTTTTTTTTATGTGAAAAGATATACCTACTTTCAGATTGGTTCCATGGAAAATTTAACAAAGTCGGTTCAGTAATTTAATTTTTAAATCAAAATACCAGAGGGAGATTGTACATCCCTCTGGTATTTGGTACATCAGAATAGTGCTTTCCGGGTTGTGTCACGCGGTCACTTGTATTATAGCACAAAAATATATCTACAATGTCGTTGTCAGTTCGAAGTTTTTCCAGAGAGAGACTTTGTACAAAAGTCGATTGTTTGGGTACCTCTGTCCCATTCGTGTTTCAACCGTGAAGCAGCTGTGTTTGCATGGCTGTGTTTCAGTTTGAAAGATGGGATATGGCGTGAATTTACTGGGTACAGAGGAATAACACCTGAGTCCTCAGGAATGGCAACGCATGGGGTGTATCATGGGCGAAACAATACAGTCTGTTATGTCCATGGTACTGCTCATGTCTATAGGCGACGGTTATCACTTTCCATCAGGTGGACCGTCAGATTGTTTGCCATTCTAAGTTGTATAAAAAACAAAATAATAATAAAAAAAAAAAACAGATTTTTCAATAATAGAAGTCCGGGTTTTTTTGTAAAATAAGATTTTAATATATATAAACGCAAACAGTAAATACTATATTCAGATATCATTTTATCAGAAACAAACATTAAGCCATACGCGAGATTATTAACTCTCACGCATGTAAATTGCTTTTTTTTAATGGGCGTAAATGAAATGGTAACTCCGCCCACACTATCAGTATACACCGGCGGGGCACTAGTAGAAGATGAAAGGTGAGAATGAATACAGGTCAATTGGCCAACCATGATGAATTCGACAAGAATTAATCATGATGGTTTCCAGGAGAAACGGCGTGGAGGTCGACTATAGATGCCTTGCTAGCAAGAAGGTCCCTTGCTAGCAATATACCCAACCAAGTCGACCTCCTCGCGGTTCTCCCTGGAAACTATCATGGTTAATTCCTGATGAATTCATCATGATGGGCTAACTGGCCTGTTTTCATTCTCATTTATCACCCTTTACTGATGCTCCGCAAGCGTATACCGTTAGCGCAGGCGGGGTTACCATACCATTTTCACCCATAAAAAAAAGCCTATGAACGCCTGTAATGCCAGGGGCATTACTGGCGCGTTATCGACCATGAAGAAACCTGTTTATCTCTTTTTTGAAGAACTCCATGCTATAGTCTCTTAGCAAAACCACGACAGGGATCTCAGTCTATAATCTGAGTGTTCGTATGAGGAAGCGGTTCTGAAATCACACTGAAGTAAAGCAGTCGTCAACGCGCACGTGACACCCCTTGTGTTGCAGGCGTTCATAGGCTACAGTGACCGTTTACCACGGACCAAGCTGTATACTTATTAGCTGCAATTGTGGTATAAAAAAAGTTACGCGACCATCCAAATGATAATATGGTTAATTATGAAAATGTGGAATGTAGTAACTGCCTCTTATAGAAGAGTATTATGAACATCACTGAATACACTGTGGCGCCCATAGTTCCCTAATACATTGCCGTTCCTGTAAAGTGAGATGTTATGCCTTCTTAATTTGCCATATAGTCATATCCCACCCATGCAAGCACAACTGCTTCACGACAAAAATGCAGATGGGATAGAAATACCTAAGCAGACGTCTTTTATACAAAGTCTCCCTTTAGTAAATGCGTTATATTAACATTGTTCTACTTGTTTGATTTTCCTAAAGAAATTATTGGAATGACAACAACTAGATACGAACATATATCAACACAGTGTACGTTAGCGGGCACGTATGTGACCTATGTCTAATGTTTATCATAAGTCCAAGTACAACACTGTGTGAGTAGGATGACATTAGGAAATGCAACTGTCAGAAACGGGATGCACTTATTATTGATCCACTCCACGGTTGTTATGAACTCCTAGTAGTTAGCACAAGAATCACTGCAGCGCATATGCGTCGATTGTCGCATTGATAATATGTTTATAGTATAGGTACCTATCTACTACTTATCTAGTAGTGTAGTTGGTGCTGTTTACATTAAAGATTTTCTTTATATAAATGTAAATACAATACACGTAATTGTTCATATCTACCGACTATTTACAAATATGGGTGACACCACACGGAAAAGATTTGCTAAATTAAAAGATTATTATTTTGGTAATTTGTCCTATTTTAACCACAGATATAAAACTTGTATAATAATGTTCGTATTTATCAATATTGTTAACAACGGCCTATATAAACTAAAATGTCTGGTCTGATTTAACTTTTTTTATTTAAATATATACCATATTACTACTATTTATTCTCAACTACGTTCGTGTTACCGCGATAAATAGTAGCTTACCTCCTTTCAATTCCAAGTAGTAAGTGTTACCACATTTGTTAACGACTGATTGAACCATTAACGTGACCTGAAGTAACGAACATACAAACTCACCTTCAGATTCTATTAATATTATAAACATGAGAGTTTATAAAGAATTATTATTTGTTTGCTAACAATCATATTTATTAATTAATCACGCTTAAACAGCTGAATAGATTTTTTTCACAATAGATGACAATGGAATGGTAATCCTGTCAGCACTAACGATACACGTCGGCAGAACACCAGTGAGAGATGACAGGTGAGGATGAAAGGCAAATCAGTTAGCCTATCTTGATGAAATATGGCTGAATGTATTTGAAGAAAATTTGTTACACAGATAGGTTATAACCTAAGATTATATAGATAGAGCATCGAGCCTCAAAAACGGGTCAATTTTATTATCAGGTAATTTAACAATTCAATTCAATTTCGTTTTTTTATTTTTTTTTTCAGTTCGTTTTTTTTATCAATGTACTATATATATGTATACTTACTAATAATATATACTTACCCATAAAATGTATCCTGACGTATTATTTAATAAATAAAATTAGTATTTACGTATTAAAAATATTGCCGAAATTATGATAAGATATGAACAAGATATCGAAGTTATAAAGGAAACACCCGTAACCATTTATATTTAATGTACAGTGGTACCCTGCACTTTGGTTGCTTTGTTAAGAGAGGGACTGGCTGAAAACCAGCGCTGTGCAGCTGTTCACATTGCGCTGGGACACTCACAGCATAAGCTGAGCCGGTTCCTTTTGCCGAGTATGGGACACTTTTTGTATATGTTATTTATATTTGATATTGTAATTGTATAGCAATAAATATTTCTATTCTATTCTATTCTATTCTTATCACGCAAAATTGTATGAAAAAGTTGATCCGTTTTCTGATTCTTACGAGCTAAAGCACATGAAGCAGTTGGTTTATACTATTACAGAATAAAAAAATTCAAATACCTATAGATAAATAACCATTAGATACTGTTGTGCAAAAAATGTATATTTAAAATTTTACTAATTGATCTACCAATTGTTTTCTTATACTACACCTAATAATAAACTAATATATGCGTAAAACGAACTGAACTCACGACGAAAGAACGTTATCAGAGAGTACAGTGTGCGGTTGGTAAGAGAAAGGACTATGCTGTGCTGGATGCGGCGCTGGCCCAGCCGCTAATTCCGCTGCGTAGTACAATGTTTCGCCATCCTGAACCGGCTGTAGATTTGCTAAATTCAGAAACTCCATATGATTTTGATACTGAATAGCTTGCGCGTATTGTTCCACCAGAAATTGGTCCGTATCGCATACGTGAGATCTCATATGAAAATTGAGGTGACTGCTCTGCTTAAATCTCCTTCCACACATTGAACACTCGAATGGTTGGATGTTTGTGTGCGTACGCATATGCTGCCTTAGATGAACCGACTGAGAGAAGCATTTGCTACAAATCACACATTTGAACGGCTTTATTTTCGTATGAGTCCGTAGATGCTGATCCAGACCTGCCTTTTGGGTAAACGCCTTCGGACAAAACGTGCAACCGAACGGGCGAATGCCTGTATGCATCCGCATATGTTGCTGGAGACCACCCTGTTGAGTGAAACGCTTAGCACATATAGTACACTGATGAGGTTTCATCTTCGGGTGTACAATGCGATTATGTGCGTCATAATCCGTACCATTCAAGAAAGTCTGTCCACATGTTTGACAAAAAAACGTTATAGCCGCTTGAATTTGAGCTGCTATGGAAGTATCTGAATTAATTTCCTTGTCCAGTGGCTTCTCGCAAACTTGACAGCGGAGAGCGGCTTTCCGGCGCTTCGTATGCTCCTCCCGGTAGTGTAGAGAATAATCGCAACAGTTGAAAAAGATTTGACGGCATTGTAGATCTGGGCGTAGCGTCGATGGAAATGTGCACGTGAAAGGGCCCCTAAAGAAAAAGGAAAAATTATGAAATGAAATGGTAGGTAAGTGGGGTCAATTACATGTGAAATTTAACATTTCACAAATATTTATATAATACGTACTGCCATAATATACTCTAATTATTATAGTTATTTTTTTATTTATAAAATAATGAAATATAGAGTATGGAAGCATAACATCTTAATTCGCAGGAAAGGCTGCGTATAAATACCCTTCATGGCAATCAAAGTATATTCTGTAATATCGGGGGGAAGGGATTATTAGTAATGCGGTCTACCAATTCCATTGCTATACCCTGTCAGGTCGACCTCTCCGCACTCTCCTGGATTCCATCGTGCTGGATTCCAGGTATATTCATCATGATGAGCTAACTGATGTTTTCATTCTTACCTATCATCACCCACTGGTAGCCCGACAGCATATACCGTTAGTGCAAACGTGGTTACCTTTCCATTATCATCCATTAAAAAATATTCTGTAATATCATGATAAGTACTATATGGAATTCATTATTACTTATACAGTCTGCTTCAATACAACTTCAAACGATTAATCAATTTGACCATAAAATAATGGGGTCAATTCTGATACACAATTTGTCTAAACCTATCTCTAAAAGTAAATTTTAGTTTAATATCACATCTTCATTGTAAGGACTAATATGAACAAATTTTGTAAAGATTTTGACTTATATAGTCAAAATCTTTATAATTTTTCATAAAAGATTAATTTCACTAAATTATTAAATTAAAATATTGGGTTAAAAGTTAATGTTAGACAAATGACACTTCGTTATATCCAATAGTGGTATAAACAAAAAAATGCTAAACCTATTAAAAATTTTACATTTGTTACTAATTTAATTAGAGAGTTTTCTGTGATAATTTCAATACTTGGTTACCTTTTCATTAAATTCTATTGAAACAGGTACGTAACGTTTTTAAATAAAAATAGGTACCTATGTATAAGTATAGCAAAATGTGTGTGATGATGATGTGTGTGTTTACGCACACGCACGTGTGTGTGTATGAATGTATAAAATAGCTAGTTTATATGAAAATATATTAATAATTTTTAAGTAAACCTCAAGTCTACTGGAGGTTTCCCTGGCTTAATTTGAGGTCGTTTTGTTACGCCGCCAAACCGGGACCTTTTCATACAGTTAACATTCGTGTCATCCCCTTCGATTTTTACTAGTAAATAAGTTATATCCTCAGTAAAAAGACGTGTCTGGAGGCCATCTTGAACTGTTATATTATCAGACTCTTCATCATTTTTCAATGGTATAAACTTGAATCCACAGAGATCATTATACACCTACAAATATTTATTTATTAATTGTTTATGTTTATATATTAAATGTAATTATACTATAACAGGTATTATTACATGAAGAAGATCTGCCTATACATATATTTTATAGTGATTGGAAATTTCGAGATGGATGTCTATGGAAGCGGTAGCTAACGGCGACTAAGCTTTATAAACTTGCTACTCGTATTACATTTATTTTTAACCAATTTCAACAGGAGAAAATTAAACTTAGCTAGTTTGGTTTTTAACTTCTTCTATTTTAAAAAAAATAATCAACCTTGGCCATGCTTGGCCAAACTGTAATGGTCCAAAGTGGTCAAACTATACAAAACTCGATTTAAGTGATCGAACTGGGCTAAACTTAGCACGACTTGACCAAATTTGGCCAAATTGAAATAGACTATATACCAACCTCGATTTAAGTGATTAAACTTAGCCCCATTCAGTCTGGCCTTATTAAATTTGTTTGGCTTTATTCAGAAACGAAATTCATATGTTAAATGTAAAAACTCAAATTAGAATCACCTACTTTTGATGTCGGTTGAAAATAAATATGACAACCCTCGCGACGAATGTAGCATGACAAAAGATATCTATGGGCGATAAACCACTGTATGAAGATTCCTTTAATTCCGATATTAGTATAAAATAAGGATATTTGTTTTCTTTTTTATACAACTTAGAATGGCAAACAAGCTGATGGCTCACCTAATGGAAAGTAGTAACAATCGCTTATAGAAATTAACTGTAGCATGGGTAGAATAATAATAAGGACCTATCATCGGCAACACAGTATACCCTGTACTGTGTCGCTCATGATATTCTTTATGCGTTGTTATTACTGAGAACTAAAGTACTGTACCCTGTAATTCATTGCCATCCATGAATCATTGCTGCGACAAAATGAGTCCATTTTACTACAATAAGTCATCATCATTATCATCATATCTGTTGTTAACTGACCATTGTTCAACACAGGCCTCTCCCATAAACAAAGGTTTACTAGTAGTTGCCGCGCTTGGCGAGCAGGTAAGCAACTGCAGTTAGGCTTTGGTGATATTTTAAGAGGGATGCTGCTGCCCACCGCTCGACCATTAAGTTCCCTTAATCGCCTCTTACGACACCCACGGGAAAGGCAGGGGTAGCCTATGGCACACGGCAAAAGTCCAATAAATTAAAATAGATGAATAGGTATCCCATCTTTCAAACCGAAACATAGCCAAGCAAACAATATCAAATTCATGTTTCTGTTTCAAGGCAGAAATACGAATGTGACAGAGGTACCCAAGCAAACGACTTTTGTACAAAGTCTCCCTCTGATAATGTAAACCAACTTTCACTATTAAAGGGACTGCACCTATGTTACCCTCGCATACTCACTAAATTAGTTAAAACTGAATTAAGAAACCGATTTTAAGAACTCTTCTTGATTCAAAATAGAACGTAGAATATAAAAAAATAACCACAAAATAGTAGAGACAAAAATGTCATTAGAAATTAATTAATATTTCCAAAGAGGGTTGACGTCAGGCAGGCAGCCGGTCGTAAAACTATAAGCTAAATCCTTTTGTAATATGGATAAAACCATATTACGCCGACCCCAAATAATAATTGGGATAAGGGTAGGAAGATGATGATGAATATGTATAGGTTTTCAAGATGTTTGGATATTTGTTACTAAATCACCCTTAAACGCCCTTATTTAAATGAAACTTGGTATATTAGTAATTTATGTTTTAACACAGAGAATAGGCACTCTACATACACACAATCACAGCTTTCCCGTCGCCCGTTTACTCGCTGGAATTAGTAATGGAATAAAGCACTGTTCTTTCTTTCAAATATAATAATTTTTAAAAGAAAGTACCCTGTTGGAAAAAAAATAAAGGAATATTATTTTTATTTGAAATATTGTTTTTATTTTTCAACTTAACCCTACAATACCACTGACCTACTTCGTAATTAGGCACTATACATTGTGACATCCCTATAAAACTAAAAAAGTAGATTTATTTTGGCAATGCGTTATTGTACTGAGATAAAAAAAACATTCTATCAATATACCTGATCGCTTTGCCGCGGAATGGTGTTCTGTTCATTCTCGCTACTGGACGTGTGGTTATCATGTTGCATGTTTGTATGGTTTTGCAGAGCATTTGCATTGTAAAAAGACTTTTTACAAATGCGACAAACATATTTTGCAAAGGGTTCTTCTTCCCATAGTAGCGAACTCTAGAATTATGAAATCAAACTTGCTTTAAAGGTATCTATAATATAACCGTGAATAAGAATAATGATCGTAGCAAACCATAATTGACAGATAAAGGTTTCTCTTAATATGTTCTCTAATATTTTACCTGTACCTCTAATATTTTCATACAATTGTAAGTACATTTTTATAATTGTTTTGAGGGGTGTAACCAAGTCGAAAGCCATAATGAAAAGCTAAAAGACTTCACGAAAAATAATAAGATAATAATGATAAATCACAAATAGCTATTATACCTACATTAAATGGCATGAAAAAAAGCACCTATACTCTAAATGTTTTACTACAAAGCTATGACAGCTATGTAATCATAAGTCTGTTTATAAACATTTTTAAAAATAAGCTTTTACAGCCTTTAGACTTCATTATCAAACTCTAGGTACCACTCAGGACTATAGATTTTATCAAGATAAATTAAACGAGCCCAAGCAACATAGGTAGAGATACTAAATTTCATCACATTCAGATGCCAGCAAGTGATTAAAAAATAGATTGCAAATAGATTCGGAACGGAAAACTTATATCAAAGCAAGTTAGGAAAAAGCTTGTAAAAAACTTATATATTATATTGTTATACCTGTATGGGATTAGTAATCGGTTGAGAAAGTATTGCAGATTGTGAAAATTGTTGATCGGCATGTTGCCCAAGTGATTCCATAGCCAACCTATAATTTAATAATATTAAAATGTTTCAAAGGTCACTTCATTACCTAAATTTTGACAAAACTCACAAAATCAAAACGATTGAATTCATAATTTGATTATTTTTTAGTTACAAAAATTAGGTAAATTTTCAACCTTTAGATAAATTTTATACCTACTTTTAATTTATACTTACTTAGTTTAGTAATTACTAATTTTGATAACTATACTAAAATGTTCATTTTTAAATTATCCGCCATTTTCATTCAAAGAGTCTATAGAGACAACACAGAGTAATACTAAATAGTTCTTTAAAGTTTAAAAATATTTAAGTCCTCATTGCAAAACAATGTAAATATCCATATAAATACTATATATTAAGAAAATTACCCGCACGTAATTCTTTTTGCCTATAAATTTACTTTCTGTTAGATACTTTTCCCGTAATTAACATCCATGATTTATGTTAGATATATATGTAATAATTCATGAATGTCAGATATATTTTTACTGCAACGAATATTTTTCTGAAAACAGAAACCAGGAAATCGACATTATGTATATATAACAACTATTGCATAAACTGACACTTATCGAAGTTCTGATTCGTAATTTTTGACATATTAACTGACAGTTGTATTACTGAAAATGGTAAGTGACACATCACAACTTTTATTTTATCAAGATCTACTACAAGAAAGTAATTTTATTTTATTTGACAGAATATCTATTTATAACCATAATTTTTTATTAAAAATATTTCTATGTAGAGTGATTATATTTAGGTATGGCTGGGTCAGCACTAAGGAGACTCATGGCTGAATATAAACGTAAGCTGTGGTAGTTAGTACCTACCATGTTAATTTAAAATGTAAATAATTAACTGTCATGCTTCTGTATAAAATTATTCTTTGCGAACTAATATCTAGCTATTAACTAAAGGCTCTTTTTGGAATATAATTATTATAATAATTATGTTAGTTTAGTAAATATTTTATTTATTGAATATACAAATGTCTACCTATTACATATTCACTTTCACTATATTATTTTGGTATGTACTTATGTATGTAGTACAAAGTTTATTGCCCTTGTAGATACTTTCTCTTCTAAAATATATACCTAGTGTAATATTATAATAAATTAGTAAAAAACTTTGACCAGGATAAACTATTGTTAATAATATTAATAAATTTCTCATACTTTTGAATGAGTATTGCATGTGAGGTTGGTCTGCTCATATTTGCTTGTATATTTCATATTGACTAATAAATTTTAATGGAACTTAATAATAACTACAGTCACAATACTCAGACAAATATAAAATTATCTTATGCATAAACTAATTGAAAAGACTAATTGTTGAGTTTCTTGCATAATCTCAGCAGATAACAAAATTCCAAATGCACAGTCATCATCATGTCAGCCGTTATGTGTCCGCTGCTGAACATAGACCTCTTCCATAGACTGCTATAAGGAACGCTCTTGAACCACCTATATCTGGTTGAACTGAACCCAGCAATAGTCTAAAAAACGACAATTAAAAAATTCTATGCGAGTCTATTTAAATAAAAAATATTTCTATTCTAATAAAAGTATGATGTTATAAAGGTTCCATTCTAAAAACATACAAGAGAACTCTTATGGTGTGACTTTCTCTGTCCGTCTGTCATGATACAGCATTATATCTCAGCAACTGCTAATATTATAAATTCGAAGTAAATTTACATATTGGCTTGCATATAAATAATTAAAAAAAATATTATTATTTTCTTTGCTGGAGAGTCCAGAACTCAAAATTGACTTATAAGTTCAAAATGCACAAATGGTTTCATTTGTGCATTTTGTAATTGATTTTTATTTGTTTTTATGATGCATAATTTTTTTACTTATTATCAAAAGTATGAGAAAAAGAAAACAATTTCTTCCATATCACCAAAGTTACTGAAATAAAAATTTTGAAATTAATTTCATAAAGGTATATGTGAATGTGTGAGTTCAACTTGTACCTGATTAGTTTTATTTTGACATGTATTCAATACTAAACAAAATTATAATTAAAATTTTATCTTACATTTGTAATTCAATTGACTCCATAAATAAAGAGAACCTTATTAAACTAATGTTTTAACTATTTATTAAACTAACATACATCAACATATTACTTAAGATTTAGAATCCCCAATAAAATCTAAAATAAAAATTGATATTGAGGTACAATTGAATTAAAGCAAGCATGATATAAAATTATTATTATGAATTTCAGAACTAACAATCAACCCACCAGAAGGTATTATAGCTGGACCTATAAATGAGGAAAATTTTTTTGAATGGGAAGCTTTAATAACGTAAGAATATTTAACATATTTATAGCCATTACACAAACAAAAATCAATTTATATATTTTATCTATACTAATTTGATAATGCGAAAGATTCTTTGTTTGATTATACATTCTAATCTCTGGAAGTACTGATTCGATTTAAAAAATCTTTTTGCATTTGATAATTCATATCTTGAAGAAGGTATAGATTGTTTAATATCACAATATTACCATGGGCAAAGTCACAGGTTACAGCTAGTGTGTTATAAAATGGACAATTAATGGTAGACAGTAGAATGGTATATATGATTTGTGATAATACTACAAATCATATATACATACATATCTTTATCATATATCATGTTGTAGGAATATAGCAGTGAAATTATAGAATATGGAAAATACCATAAACAGCACAATGTATTCTGTGATATCTGTGGGCTGTTCATGTTTATAGGCGATAGTTATCAGATAAGCTGTCAGCTTGTTGTTTAAATATTAAATTAGTTTATCCGAGCATTTCTGAACTTAGCTTCTCAATTAAACAATTAAGCTGTAGTTGTTTTCCAACAGATGTGCTGTATATCTTTATTTCTATTTCACATAAAACAAATTATTTTGCTCATATATTCATCTATTTTTTTTATTTAAATAATAATTTAAAAGAAATATACTGTGTAAAATTCCTAACTTGTATTTGAGCAATGAACCTAAAATGAAATCGCAATCATATCAAATTTAAAAGTAATTTTATTATTGGAGTAGGTTTTTTTGTCACTATAATGCCATAATTATGATGGCTGATTTTATGGACAATATTTAAAAATTATTCTAAAAAACTACTCTGAAGATATACTCAGAAGTAACGATTGCTACAAATAGAATTTGCATATTGCAAAGTGTTTTTTTGTATGTTTTATAATTTGGTAATTGTAATGAATAATTCTTAGACTTATTGATGACTAGCTACTCACCCCAGTTTTGCACAGGTGTATAAACAAAAAAATAACTTGAAATCTCCCTTTTTTTTTACCCAAATTTTTCACCTTTCTATACAATCAGGTGCAGCCATTCTAAAGTGGTGCACTTACATACACTGTTTGAGATAATTATTTACAAATTGTTAATTTTAAACTTTCGCATTGTTGACACATATTTTATTTACACTATCGGGACAAAACGTGATGCGATTACCTAAATAGTAATAGTAAATATTACCTACTAACCTGTTTTTAGTGCCGATGTCTTGACGTGGATTGCACCACGATATGGTCATGAAACGGTGTCTTCTGTCAGCCCACGAAGTTTCTTCGACCATTCTTACATCATCTCTATTATTGTCTAGATCTACTCTACCTACCACACTCACGGTACCAACACTGCGTATAAACAAATTATCACGTGTCTTAAATGGGTTCTATGCTGTTGAAAGCCTCAATCCATCTTCTTTATTGAATTTTTTATGTTTCTTAATTTCAATTGCTTCATATATTATCACATTATTATCTTGCAGTTCAATCAATTCCTGCCTGTAATCGCGTCGCATTTAGTCACGATAGTGCCTTAAATTTATTGACAAAATGTTATAAAAAGAATTCTTATTTTTACAGAGGACCAGAAGGAACATGTTTCGAAGGTGGAATATTTCCAGCAAAATTGGTATTTCCCACTGACTATCCACTAAGTCCACCAAAGATGCAGTTTACATGTGAAATGTTTCATCCAAATAGTGAGTATTAATCAGCTAATTGTAAATTATTTTTATTAAAACTGTACATTTAATTTCTACAATGATCTAGTTGTGGCTGTAAATTATTGTAGACATTAAAAGATTAAATTACACTTACAAAATTACAGATAATATCCTATCCAGTCATATCCTAAAAAATATACATACTATTATTAAAGTATTTATGTATTTACATAATTATGTCACATCCATATGTTATTGAAAATTTTATCATTATTATTATTATATTAGCCATATTCCACAGCCTTGTTCCAAATAAAACAAGATAAAAACATATACTTAACTTATGATAACAGTCTGTCTGTTTACCAAATTTAATAACGATACAATCATCATTAATTATCTTATACATTATTAATGTGTTCATAAAAATTCCGTGTATTTTATATATTACATTTTTATTGCAATCATGTGTTTATTGTAGTTTTTAAAATTTAAACTACATATAAAATTTTTTTTTCAGTATACGCAGATGGTAGAGTTTGTATATCAATCCTTCATGCACCAGGTGATGACCCAATGGGATACGAAAGTAGTGCAGAAAGATGGTCACCTGTACAAAGCGTAGAAAAAATTCTTCTCTCTGTCGTTAGTATGTTGGCTGGTGGGTAAATATAGTTTTTATGCTTGCTTTGATGTTTGACATTTTATCTATACTTAAATTATTAAATTTCATTTTAAAATTGCAGTGAAATTACAGGATAGAATGGTAAATAAGCATAGAGTCCATTTAATTTTTAATTTGTTCTTTTTTTCATGCATAAATTTTTTTGTTCATTCCTGCTTCTATTACTTCATGTCCAGTACCACTAACCTATTTTGTTAATATTTGTGGGAACCTATTAGTGGCTTAATTTGTAATCTTAGACTATTTCTACTTATGGTCTTTTTGTATAAATAAATAAAATAATAAATAGTTTCCAGGGGGAACCGCGAGGAGGTCAACTTGGTTGGGTATATTGCTAGCAACGGGATTCTTAGTCTCCATCACTAACAATCCCTTTTCCCCCATTACACAATAGTTGATAAATTAAACATTTTCAGAACCCAACGACGAGAGTGGTGCCAACGTAGATGCAGCGAAAATGTGGAGAGAAGATAGAGCACAATTTAACAAAATTGCCGAGACATTGGTCCGTAAAACTCTTGGTCTACCACCCTCCAAATATTTTGATTAATATTTATAATACGGCAATTCTGTGCATCCATCACACTTAATTTATTTTGTATGGGTGGAAAACTAAGCAATACATAACAATGATGCCTTTTTAAGCTGCCTAGCTTTCGTGCTTAGAATTCAAATAATAATTACGCAATATAATGTGATACATAGATTTTGTACAGCTCTGTCGTTAAATTTTATAAATAAGGACATAATTATAAAAATAATTATACTTGCTTTAATTATCATTTTAACAATTCTTATATAATTGATATTATATATAAATTGTAGTATTTTTGTGATGTTACGAATATAATTAATTATCCATTTGTACCTTGAATATGTTATGGAATATTTTAGATTGTTATCAGTTTTTATAGATATTAGTAAAAATGATCATCACATTCAAATGTATTTTTTCTTTTTCCCAAAATTTAATTATAAGTCGTAATTATCTAATTATAATAGTCAATTTTCAACAACAACTTAATAATTTTCAATGTTTTCGATTGATTATTTAAACAGTGCGAAGCGTTTTTTGTGCGAACTAAAGCATTAATCATGCAATAATATAATTATTTAGCTGTCACTGAAATTTAGGAGTTTGTTAACAAAAACTATTTGAAAGATTCCAAATCAAAACATGAAATAGGTTCTAAGTTTTTAGTGGTAGATCTATATGCAACATATTCTATGAATTAACGTTAACTAGCACAATGCACTTTTTAAATTATTACAAACATTGAAAATTATTAAATTATTTTTCATAATTAACAGACAATTGCAACGTTGTCACATTTCGTCAAGCTAAAGTTGTAAACGCTCTTAATAAACATACAATATATTCATAATTACATAATAGTAACTGGAACTTGCCCACATGCAAAAGCTTCAAGTTATTAGATTATTCTCAGAGTTTCTTGGCGTAATAGAATCCGAAATTAGGATATCTGCGGAAGAATCAAAGTGACCGAGATAGCCTGAAAGATAAACAAGCTGCAATGGCAATGGGCTCATCTTCGAAGGTTCTTGAGTGGCGACCTCATACAGGCAAATGGAGTATAAAACGACCCCTCAGTAGACACAGTAACGGTCTCAAATGCATTGCAAGGAGTCAATGGATGCAAGTGGCTATCCTATGCTTAGCAGTGGATAGATAACGACTGATATGATAAACAGTAACTAGTGATATTGCTAGCAATACACCTTATCAGCTCGATCTCCATGCGGTAGTCCCTGGAAATAATCATGTTTAATTCTTAGTGGAATAGTTGCGATGGGCCAACCGACAATAAGTACATAAAATCTTGTTCAAGAAATCAGTTCAAGTTACGACAGGGCTGATATATCTGAGAGGCAAATGCACGCAGCCAGGGTGGAGGAGAATCTAGGAGGAATTGGCATTTGAAAGTTGGACTTTCATACGTTGCGGTAGTTTGGACTGTAGGATCGATCACAGTATGGCCCGCGTGGTCCTGGCCTGTACGACTTCGCGATCTACCTAAGGCTTCAGCAGCAGCGACCGGTCAATTTCAACGTCGAGATTGGCCGTGACTTCCATTGGTGGTAGACCGCCCACGGTGGCGAAGAGGAGACGGAAATAATCTCTGGCGGCGGGTCAGGGGTACTACCTTCTTACCTACGTTGATCACTTAGGGGGGCGGTTCAACAGCCGCTGCATCTGACGTGCAGCGGCATCGGCACGACTCAATTTCGAGAATAAGATACCGTCGTCAGCAAAAACAGTGAGGACGACATCTCTCTCTCCCTTGAGAGGGTCATCCCTCTAGATGAGGATGTCGTCCATATACGTCGCGTAGAGCACTAGAGATATGCAGCTGCCCAATCGCTACCGGTGATCCGATCCGCAGATCGGATCACCGGTAGCGATTGGATGGATCGAACAAAACGTAATAGCTCCGGTCTTGGCGGAAATCATAAATTACCTGTAGGCTTGTGGCGTATGCTAGGAATTTGTACACTAAGCCGTCGTTCAACACGTGATCGAGCGAGCTTCATTGCTAGCAATATTAGCAATCACTATAACATCATTTAAATCGTCCATTACTTTCGAGGTATTGTTTAAGAACGTTGTTAGTTCCTTATTATATCATGGGAGATGAAGAGCACATTGTGTATACTGCACATAATAATTTACCAGAGGGAGAGTGTACAAAAGTCGATTGCTTGGGTACCTCTGTCCCATTCGTGTTTCTACTGTGAAGCAGTTGTGACTGCATGGCTGTGTTTCGGTTTGAAGGGTGGGATATGGCGTGAATTTACAGGGTACAGAGGAATAACACCTGAGTCTTTAGGAATGACAACGCATGGGAGGTATCATGGGCGAAACAGTACACTCTGTTATGTCCTCATTGCCTGAGTAACAACACTACTAATCCGTGTTACTGTTTGGACTATATTCTTAAATCTATTCTATGCTCTGGTAAACCCTGTATTTCTATATTAGATTCACGGCTTTGTTGCTAGACAGCAGATAGGTGTCTAGACAGATCCTTATTGGTATTACGTAACTCATTATTACGACTTTTTAAACTTTTAATATCATTTTGTCGTGCTTTTTATAAATTACTCATTTAATCATATTTTCCGTTGATGTAAGGAATACAATTTTTGAGATCTGATATTTAATCTTTTAGGAGTTTTTTTTTAATGGATGATAATGGAATGGTAACTCCACCCGTGCTATCGGTATACACCGGCGGGGCACCAGTGAAGGATGATAGGTGAGGAGATGAAGTAGGTCAGTTAGCCCATCGTGACGAATTGTTCACGATGGTTTCCAGGGGGAACCACGTGGAGGTCGACCTAATAAGGCATATTGCTAGCAATAGGGCTGTCAAACTCCATTACTAACAATCCCTTTCCCCCCTCTTTTAGGAGTTCTAATTATATAGGTAAGGATTTCTTTAATATTTTAGGTAATTCGTTATGGTTATTAATGATTTGTGCTGCTTTCTGGTTAGGGCTGAAAAATGCATCCAAAATATTTAGGTCAATAGTCACATAAAGTTTTGTGACGTTGGGATTGTCAGCGGCATCAATTTTAGAAGTCACTAAGGAGAATCACGATGCTCGTACTGGTGTATTTTTATTATTAGGGCGTTTGTTGCGACATGCCTGACAGCACCAATCATTACGGTGTTCATTATTCATTTGAGAAAAACTTGTAATAGATATAAAAAACAAATCGTAATATAAATGACACCCTTTGCATTGCAGAAAATTATTATTATTTAAAACATGTACTTGTTGTACATCTTTCTGTCGCAATTATAAAGCAGGTAAAACTACTTGTTGAGTCTCAGTACTATGACAAATAGAATATGTTAAAAATTGCAATCGCAGAGCAATGCAGATATTATGTGTCACATATCTAAATGATGCGGGCCGCAGTCGCCGCGCTGGCTGTAATGACAGACACAACAGTTGCGGGGCGCGCTAGGACTGTTGAAAACAGATGGCAATAGGATGACTCACCGATGTTAGCGACGTCGACGGTGATACAATAAACTATCGTTAATAATTATATTGAAAATTTTTTGATTATATCTTTTAATTGCAACAAAAAAACTTTAAACTGAATTTACTATAGTGTTGAGCAACCTATTACGTAATTAATTATATAAATTATTACTTTATGGATTGAATTTTAATTACGTTTTTTGAATATATACAACGGAGCAAACAAAATACTCTGTGGTTTATAACAGGAATAAACGATTGATGTTATAATAATGATATTATGTCAATATAATGTCAATTCAGTTGGTCATTAGAAATTATCAACAGATAGTATAATACTATATTAGTACTATGAGAGGCCAAGTGGAAGTTGACCTGACTGATTGAATCTACTCTTAATTATCAGCAATAAATGGAGACTTAAAATGAAAAAAAAAAGTATAATATTATGTCTGAGACAATAACAATAAACAATAGTTTGTGATACAATTGTTACCGATCGAACAAGAACTTAGTTTTAAATCTTACTTATCTGATTCAAACCCAATTTATAACAATAGATAGTCACTCGACTATTTATTATTATAAATTAATTTACAAACTTAGAAATAGTTCAGTAAAGGTATTACTAGTGCATTTACAAAAAAACTAGGTGGTGTTGGTATAAAAATACCTAATTACTCTATTTCATTATATAATTATTTGCCACTCTTATGCCAGCCAAATTATGGGCAATTTTTTAAATGTTTAATAATGGTATGATAACCCTGCCTGCGCTAAGGGTATAGGTACACTGGTTACCAGTGAGGAATGATAAGTAAGAAAGATAAGGCAGGTTAATTAGCTCATCGTGATGAATTTACTTTGAATAGAACACCATGATTTCCAGGGGGAATTTGTCGACTCGACACGGTGTATTGCTAGCAATGGGCCTACTAATCTCCATTATTATTCATAATTGCGGGCAGTTAGGTACTTAATAAAATAATTAACAACTAAATGTAATATATATACCTTATATAAAAATATAGTCTTACTACACGCTGGAGTAAGTAATATCCCTATTCCTTATAACAGTAATTTGTTGCGTTAGGCGAAAATTGAAAATGATATTTAATATTTATTTATATTGCTTATAAGCAATTAATGAATTAGAGTTGTATTATAGTTCTGCCTTTTCCTATTTAAATTAGTATGTAAGTACGTTATATTAAGTTTATGAGTTATTAGATTTTTTACATTACCAATCTATATATTTCATAATTTAAGATTTACACTCTGCTTGCTGCATACTTTTGCTCCATAATTTTTAGATTCTTAAAAACATACTTACTTAGATATCTCTGGGTTCAAAGAAAAATATCTAAATAATCATTACGTTATTTAAGTATCGGCAATGCCCTTGTATAAATGAAGTGGAAAATTATATAACAAGTTAGATACATATATCAACACATTATTAATACCTGTCCAAAATATCGACATTGACCGGTGGCGCAAAATACCTAAATACAGACATCTATAGCGTAAAGTTTTCAAATTCAGTGACCTAGTTGCATACATACATATTATAGAATTTTTATTATTCAAACGACGCGCGCCTGCACATGCGTTAGGCGTCGGCACATCGCGTCATTGGCATAGACAATATTCGCTGGGGTCGATTCTGAGGCTTCATTGTCTAAACCTCTCTAAAATTAAAATTTCAATTTGATATATCTTTATTCTAATAGCTTAACTTCTTTTAAATATATTAGAAATATAGTTTATATCGGTCCTTAAAATAAATGTTTCACTGTTATAACAAATTGAAATTTTAATTTTTTAGATAGGTTTACATATATGCCGTCTCAGAATGTACCTCTTTGATGCACAAATGGCATCCAATGTAATGTTTCATGAGGCTTATCTGTCTACTTATATTTAGTGATTATTTTTTAACGATCTAAAAAGTTTTTATTAATCTACGTTAAAAATTCTATTACTCGTGATTATATCGAATTATTGTATTTGTACTATTTGATAAATAAGAATTAGTGATATATTTTTATATATTGACCCTTTATTATTCATTAATGGGATACATCCATGTGCAAAACTATTTGATTTTGTTTATTGTTTCGCTGCGTAGATAGTATAAACGATGTTTTCTTGATTAGATCGCTTAATCACCTTTATGCAATGGCCACTTTAGAGACATACTCAGAGGCGGATAAGGTGAAATTATCCAAGTTCGCAAAGATTTTGACTCATAAGGTCGCTCAGATAGTAGTTCAGAGCAGACAAGGGAGGAAGATCACTCAAGAATGCAACGCTAGAAATGCTGTAGATAATGGGCCACCATTGTCTCCTACTAATCAACAATGGGTAAATTTCTATTTATAAATAGCTTTGGATTTCATTAATGACTACTTGATATAAAAATTTTTACAGAATGTGCATTGGCGAGTTTTGAGCTGTGCGAATTTTAATAATTCTATCTATAATTTAGGATAACATGTGTATTTATTGTAATCATTCACTATTGTGTATATAACTGATTAGCACTAAATAATTATTATCTTTTTTTTATATATAAATTTGTATGTACATGAGTATTCAGTCTGCTTGCACTTTATTTTATAGTTCAACTTGTCTATTCCTGATGAGCCTGAGGTTAAGCAAGATACAAATGGAGTTCTGAAAGAGGAAATTGTTGCTTCGCTGGCTAATGTTTTATGCATAGAAATATCTCTACGGACTAGTGATGATGAAAGAATGGTGTTAGAATTATGGACAGTGCGATTAGTACCAAGTTCATCTAATAATGGCATATCCATTCCTACAATTTATTATCGTATGAGTATTATGCTAAAGTCTACACTTACAATATCAAGAATAACACCTGCATACAAAATGTCCAGGTCACAGCACAAAGAATCTTATAAAATTTTTCATAAAATATATGGCGGTGAACCCAACTTAACATTGTTAGGTGAGATTTTTAATGTAAAATGTAAAAATAATATTACCATTATATTTAAATGGAGATCCAGTTTAAATTTTGTTACTATGTTTATAACATTTTTCTACTTTCAATGTTTATTGGCCTTCTTTGAGAATATTCACAACTTATTATTTTAAGTAATCTTTATCCAATTTATTACCAGATGTCGCTTTTATCTTTCCTAAAAACTGCTTTTCACTCTGTCTCTAGAGTACTATTTGACTACTGTTCTGTGCTGTTTTCTTATGATCAGTTCAAATTCTCAATAAATAAATACAAATTTTCTTAAGATTGCCAAATTGAAAATTATGTTCAACATTTTTCAGGCGAAAAATTTAAACGCATTAAAATAAGTGATTTACAAACACCTATTGGCACTATATATATAGATGTAGTGTACAGGACTAAAATGACAATTCTACCAGAGGACAAACCAAAGGTAATAGAGTCAACATCTGTGACTACAACAGTGAACGATATAATGGTGAAAAGTGATCATTTTTATGAAAGTCCAAAGTGAGTAACACAAGTTATTTTTTGTGTTTTCATGCTTTAATATTGATACTTATAATCTCATTTTCTATAGAATGAATAGTTACTACACATCAACAACAACAACTACAAATCTTGGCATATCTTTTTATCATAGATAACAGTGTAAGAAACAAATAGTTAAATTATAAAGGCTTTTATGTTAATTTTATCATTTTCTATCTTGATAATGATGTCTATTGACACTTGGTGGAAGTTTGAAAACATATTAACTTTTTAAAAACACTTCTACTCTTCTATAATTTATTATAATAAATACCTGGCCAACTTTGCTTTTCAAGCTTTTCTATTCATCTATATGTATATTGTTGCATATTATTACATTGTTATCCATTTTATTTTTAAGTTACTATATTTGATAAAAGATTATGGTAAGATTGTAAATTAATGAAATGTCAAAGTATAGAATAATATTCTCTGAGTTAATACAACCTACTTACCTCATATCAGATCTTTTATGACAAACAGAAGAAATACAGATGAGTTACTATTAAACAGTGTATACCTTTATTTTTTATTGATATTTTTTTTTATAGGAAAGTGAACAATGATAAAAAAGGGATTGATTTGTCGAAGCCATTGACAGTGGGTGCTTTTGTTGACGCGGACCAAATTCGTGAATTACATGATGCTCTTAGCCAACAGCTACCACCCGAGCCTCAGATGACCTGGCTCTGTTCTGAAAAGGATAAAAATGATATTGTATGTCTCCTGATATCTCTAATTATTTTATATAACTTTGAAAGGCAAACAAGCTGACACTACTTTTAATAAGGTGACTTATGTAATTGGAAGCAATAATCGTCACCTATAGACATGAAAAAATATTTATAAAACATTGACACCGACTTGTTTCACTATTTTATCACATAAAAGTTTTGTTAAGATCTTTGTTTTTATTTAAAAAAATGAATATATTAGTGAGAATAACAACAAAACCCAAAACCTTGTGTAATATTATTAAAATCATATTAATTCAACCCCAAATAAATGGTATAAGAGCTAACAGATATTGATGATGATGAGAAACAATCATACTCAATGTTTTTATAGGGACATCTCCATAATAATTATTTTAATGAATAAATAAATAAATTTTCAATCTCATAATCTCTGGTAAGGTACTCTGAATCCTTAACTATCTGGACAGAGTGCATGTCCAATTATGTCTCATTCACTTTTTGATTCACTTTGACACTGCTCCCACAAATAAACCACTATAAATCTAACATGGTTTATTTATTTAATTTATATATTTAATTAAATAAATATTACAAATAAATTAATTAGACATAATGATCATACACAGTAATATATATTTAATTTACTATATATTATAATTTAACTATGACACTTAACACTATATAATCTGTTTAGATTTTCTTATTAAATCCTGAGGCAATCATTGCTATTATAATATATTTATTTATTTGTTCATTAATATAATTATAACATTATGACAGTAAAAACGAAATTAATGTTCTAAACCTAGTGTGCTTACATACAAAATTATAATAAAGGTATTTAACTCGACTCCAGATATTTCTAATATAATATCTTACTATATCTCGTTTACTTTATTGCATAAATTATGAAAAAAAATCATTATTGCAGAAATTCAAAAATTTATCCATATCAGAAGATGATGCTAAACCAGGTTGCAGTACTGACAACACTGGCACTTCTACCCTACACGCTACAAGTAAGGCTATCGAAGTGCCGAAAGCAAAGAATGGGGACAAATATGCCAGTCTTATGGTAAGATTTATTTGTTATTTGTTAGAGTATGCTAATCTCTGATTTAAATAAAATTTCGTAAATGTTTAATATTTGTTCCAACTAAAACATCAACTAAGAGTAAAGATAAATCTTGTAGGTGGTGTAAAGAAAAAAACAACTAGTAAGTATATAAGTATGGCTGTGACAATTGTTTTATCTAATATTATTTGATTCTTTTACTGGTTTTAGTAACACTATTTATAATATTATATTTTTGTGATAACAATAATTTTTATACCTAAAAAGCCTTTAGAGCCCTAATAAGGTTGATCTCCATGCAATCCCCCCTGGATACTGTTCTAATTAATTCATGATAAATTTGTCGTGATTGGCCAAGTGATCTGATTCATCGTCAATTGCCACCACTCATTGGTACCACATATACATGGGCAGATTGATAAGTCCGGTAAAAATGAATTAAGCAGTAATACGAGTTATAATATGTTTGGACAGGTCATTGTTTTGTGCATACATACACGAAATTTCATACTGATATTTTAATTAGTATTTCTTTGTCAGTCATTTAGACTGGACAGTCGTTTTTTTGCTGTTCAAACGAAAAATAGTGAATTTCAAGTGTGGATAAAACATTGCTTTTTACGTTAAAAGACCATCACCGAAATGAAAAAAAAAAATGATAAATATGAATGATCTTCTCCGTCAATTAAGATTATTCATAAGCACGGAAGATGTTCTTCGCTCAAGACGTCCAATTGCTGTAACCACTCTAGCGTTGATCTCGAAAATCCACGCCATCGTATTAGGAGACCGACGAGAGAAATTGAGAGAGATAACTAACACTAAACTTTTCGTATGAAGAGTTTCCAACATATTGCATATAAAAATCTTTCGGCAAGATGGGTACCGCGTTTGTTGACAATTGACTAGAAACATGAAAGAAAAGTGTCACACTTTTCCAGACTAATTTGCCGCCTTTTGAATGAAACAGAATGTCGTTTTGTGACTGTACATAAAACATGGATTCATTTTTACACGCCGAAGACAACGTTCTAAGTACCAGATAGTAGTAGAAGAAGAAAGCCAAGGTGATTCCATCAGCAGGCAAAGATATGGCTACGGTTTTCTGAGTCGCACAAAATACAATCTTAATTGATTTTCTCCAAAAATTTGTGTTATTAAGTGTCCAAAAAGGGAATACAATAAATGGAAAGTATTAGGCTATATTTGAATCAAGAATTCAAGACGAAACGGCCTCATTTTGCCAAGAAAAAAGTCCTGTTTCACTACGATAATATTCTTGTCCATTTTCCCGCCATTGCAACGAGCTAGCTGATGGAGTTACGCTACGAAATAGTTGTCTATTTTCTTTATTCTTCTGACTTAGCTCCGAGTGACTTCTTCCTTTTCGAAACATGAGTCTAAACTCTATCACTGAAACTAAGGCGTATTTTGAAGGCCTTGAAGATTACTATAAAAAGGAGATCAAAAAACTCTGTCATCATCTAACCAAGTGTATCATTGAAAATTAAATGACACTCATTCGAAAAAAGTATTTCATTATATACCACCCTCGTACTGATAACGCGAGCGCAATTACAATTCCATTATCATCCAATTAAAAGTTCTATATAAAGATAATGTTGAGATTCTGTTCTTTTTCCAGGATTTCCCCTTCGCTAACGGTAGTCCTATGGCAGACCTGGCAAACTTTTACCAGGAATGTCTACAGGCTAGATCCGCGAGCGATGAATGGATTGAAATCGGCGAAGTGTCCGCCTCTACCGACTCGGAATCTTTGTCTCAGCAGTTAAAAATGTTCGAGGATGCTGTCCCTGAATTCGACAATATGGTTGCTTCGATGTTTAGCAATTCCGAAAATGGATCCGAATAATTGTAGTAGCTTAACACTAGACTGCCGCCGTTTATGTCTGTCTGCCAATACAAAAATGAAATACGTAATAATGAATCTATAAGGTTTCCTACTAAAAGAAGCTTTTGCTTAAACTAGTTTGTTTTACCACAAAGAAATTTTATTATTTGTTCGTCCTACCCTTTTCTGTTGCTAAATTTCTGCGTGCTCCTAACTAGATCTGGCAGACAGACGATCCAAATATTGTATGCGATAATGAGTTAGATATTTATAAACTGTAGATAACTATCACAATGTCCTTACCCAGTGTTTCAGTTTTAATTACTAAACGCGTACCTTACCCAGTGTTTCAGTTTTAATTACCTAACGTGGAACTTACCCAGTGTTTCAGTTTTAATTAGGAACCGATCTGCCTTGAGGCTAACTAGCAATGTAGCTCTAGTTATCAATTTTATATGTTCAAATTATGTATGTTAATCACTCGGGCCAAATGACGACCTTAATGGCGCAGCTGTGGTCACATTGCTTCACGTAATAAGGTCCCGGGTTCTATTCTCAGTTGGGCCAATTTTGCAAACGGAGTTTTCTAAATTGGCTCGGGTTTGGGTGTCCTGGGTCGTGGCCCCAGATGTTTGTTGCCTGGTCCCTCGTAACACAGATACTCAAGCTGGAGGACCAGGCGATCGGTGTGATTGGTGTTATTGATGTTATTGGTGTGACTGTATGTATAACACTATAAGAAGATCTCGTACGCTTCTATAGAAATATGCGAAAAATATACCATATGCCTACTATTAATCTGTAGCTTGACCTGCGTATTCGGATCTATGCTCAAGCGAATTACATGTTTATGGTTTTACAATAGATTGCTATTAAAATACTATTTATTTATTACACATGTATGTTACAAATACAAATGCCATAAGTATTCTGTTTTTACTAGAACATTACCTTATTCTATTAAGATAATTAGGAACAATTTCATTGACTTTTTCCAGAATGTTTCATTGAGGTCGTAACGTATATATCATAAATACGAAGGTCGTAACACGAGTATTAAATCTTTACACACGTCTGTCCTCTTCCAATAGTGGTTATACAATGTTACAAATTACACGCATTTAGAGAAATATTCACATTGACAAATTTATTGTTTTATAAAACACAGAGAGCCAGCGGTTTGTGTAAGAAAAACAATAAAAGAAAAATGATACAACATTGCATGCATATGTATCATCAGCGGCCATATACCGTAACATCGCATACGCCAGCTCTCTGTTGAATTGAATTGTTAATAATTGTAGGCTATTTTAATAATTTACTGCTTTTAATTTTACTTATATCATAAATATTTTTAATAAATAGATGTCGCAATTATCTAAAATATTGTCGCGTACACCTATATAGATTTACTGTCTGTAATCATGTTTTTACTAAAAAACAACCAAATCGCATTCATGTAAAAAAAATCTAGAAACTAATTCGACATTTAATTTACTAATATCTAAAAGTACGTAGACATAGTATTGACATCTATTTATATTTTATCTATCATTTTATTAAGAATTAGGATTTAATTTTTAATTATATGTAATTTTACCGCATCACACCTTGAGCGCCATATTAAAAATTAATAATATTGTAGTTACGAGTAAGTTAGTTAAATATTTCATAATGGAGAAGTTTCTTATTGTTAAAAATGCTATATTGAGCTTAATAAAATTAAAATGTAGGTCCGAATTAATAAGCCCGTAAAAAAAAATGTTAAAATCCCTTAATAAGTAGCTGAGAAATAGGTCATAATAAGAAACAGGGAATTTTATTCTGGTTACAAAAAAAAGTATTTTACAACCTATTTATTCCTCTTGTAAGTTTTAGTTAATTCGCTAAAGAAATGCTTTTTATTTATACAAATCACTGTGGTAGTGAAGTTTGTAAAGAAAATGTATTTCTAGCAGGTGCAACCGCAGGCAGGTTCCTGAACCATTTTGTGTTTAGCATTTCATTATTTGCACGTTTGCTTTTTATGCACGAACGTGCTAACAATGTACATATGTTTATCAGTCCAATCAAGAAACAAATATTTTTTTTTTTCTAATTTTTATACTAATTTTTTCCCGCATTTTTCCTGTTAGGGGTTGAATTTTTAAAAACGACGAAAGTACATCTTTGATGTATTTTTTAACTGTGTAACTGATGTAACTTTTAACGCCTGTTTCACCCTATTAGTGGACAGATTTTCAAAAAGACTGAAAACTTGTGTCCTTTTACATTTATGGAGATATTTTAATGATTACTTTAGATTTTTATTTAGTTCTGTTTAATTTTTCATAATTGCAAATAAAAATATTTTTGGAAACTTCTCCATTGATATATTAAGCTCATGTTATTACGACTGATATTTTACGTGTTAGTTTTACGTGTAAATAATATTGTGTAGTAAACGCCAACTGAATAAAATATAATGTCCTTTGTAACTTCTATTTACATTTAATTTTTTACTGAATATAAATAGATAGGTTATACATAATATTAATTTGTCTACAACTGAATTTAAAGGTCTGTAACTGAATTGTGAATGATAATGTGTTCTGCTTTTTGGTATTTTATAGATGTTATTTTCTTTTTTTTTTTATTAAATTATGCGAATAATTTTGCTACGTACCTTTTTAACATTGAGTGCCTTACCCATCGTTGTTTCGATTGTATCCGTATAGTTTTACCATTCAGGTCTATCACACTACTAATAGTACTATTTGCAGTACGATTTTAATAGAACTAAACTGATAAAGAAGTGCATTTAGTTCTATTTTACAGGTATAATAAATACACTTTGTTCTATGAATTTAATAGAACTAGAAAAGTCAAAATGTTAAGAAGCAAAACAAATATAAAAAGTAATAAATTAAACAATCTGATTTTCTATTAAAGTCAAATACTTAACCAATTTAAAAAAAAGTCAAACCTGTCTTTAACGTATTTCTGCTATTGAAGTTTTTCCTCTTCAGATTTCAGTTAATACATTATCATTTTTGCTACTACAACGCAAAATCTCCATATTTATAAACGCGATTTTTAAAATACTCAGATGTAAGAAAAAAATAATAGTCTGCTTTCTTTTTTCACGAAACGGAATAATATTTTTGTTTTATGTGCTTTGCCCTATTAGCGTAACTAAATCATATAAATTCTCTGTTTTTTTTTTTTAATAATAGAATTAGGTATAGGAATTTTTTAGTCCGTTCTATTCCACTTGTAGATTTAAATCGTAGAACTATACGGATACAATGATTGTTTCGTTTTTAATAGTCTACAAAAAGTGCCAAGGTTTGTTTTGAAATAAATATTGCTATGTGCATTATAATTATGTTAAATATAATACTCTACTTAATCAGAATTATATAAAGAGAATGCAGTGTAAATCAGTATGATAGTTTATTATAAAATCAGTTTATTATGAAATGAAATTATTTTTTAAAGGTACATGTCATTGACTAATACTATATTTAAGTGAATATTTTAACGTTTAATTTGTAAGGAAGAATGGTAATTCAATTGCAACTTACGCGGCTACATAGTTATTAATACAGTATGATTATTCGGTGAAGTATAAATATTAACATATAAACTATGCCATGAAAATATACATTTTTCATTAATTGATTCCTGCTTTTACAAAAACGCGCGCGTGTACTCGCATCTTTTTTTTCATATAATTCGTAATATATTTGAAAAAAAAAATTATTTAGTAGTTTTTGCTATTGCTATATATATATATATATATATTGTGTTGCACAAAACTCGGTTTGGTATGACTGGTGATTTGTTAAATTCTAAGATTCGTTTTATGATACAGTGTTATAATATTATTATTATTATTATTATTATATATATATATATATATATATATATATATATGTATATATATATATATATATATATATATTATTAATCTGGTAATTTTCTATACTTATAAAAACACTTGTCCTAATTAAGCGATTGGTCTAATTACTGAAATAGAGTTTTGAATTTTTCAGTCCTAATCAACAAACCATATGTTATTTTTATGATTTATGCAGTTAAAAATATAACGCAAAAATGAGTTTGCTCATACAAAACCACGGTAAACAGTTAATACCCCGGTAGTATTATGGTTTGACTTTTGAATCACTTTAGCGGAACCTAATCATACTGTTTAGTTCATCCATAATAATATGAATGCTTAAACAACAACGTAAAAGGTATTTTAACAATATTAACTGCTTTATATTCACGCTAACCTGGCGTTTAATTATTTATACAATACTCCCTAATTTAGTTATTATAACGTAATTTACGTACTTATATATTTAAAAAGGATTTTAAAAGCATAAAATATTTCATGTTTATAAAAACCTTCGTAAATATGTAAGTAATACGTACACGCTACGTTAAATATTTTCTTCCAAATGCTTTTAGTGAATACTCAAAACTTAGCACAATAATAATGAAATGCACCTTTTTTAAAACCTATTTAAATATGTAACTATACTATGTTAATATTTATACACCAAGATTCATTTTTTATTCTTTTTTTAAGAGATTTTAAAATTTCAGTACATTAGAAATTTTAAAATCAGGACATTAGTGTAAGTTGCAATTATATATGTACTAGTATTTAATATTGGCTTGTTTCTGTAATTCGTTCTTACTGTATTGTGTTCATTCTGATAAATGTTTAAGAAGAATTATGTTTGTTTGCCTTGAAGTACTGTCTTAAAGTTTTTTTTAGTATATATCAATATTAATTACCGTTTGGAATTTTCTGAATACTCATACTTTTTAACTGTTTTAAATGTAGGAATGGCCTATCATAATAATTTATTTATAATTATTTACACAGTTACATACGCAATTTAAGTTTACATTGAGGTATAATCTGTACTTGCTTGTAACATAGCGTTTTTATCCTACGGGAATATATTTATTGATTGGGATTCATTTCAGTTCAATAATTCTATTCATATGGTGTCCCAAATTTCATTAAAATCTGTCCAATCAAATTTTTTACAAGTAATTTATAGTTATAATATGATGTTTAGTTAGCATGGGCGTTTGTTTTGGAGACATCTCTCTCCTATCAGATATTAATACAAATAAAAAAAAACGTTAAAAATAGTGTAGTATTCTTTTCTTAAATTTTCTATAATCTACCGTTGGTTTTGGATTGTATGTTTTATTTTTTTATTTTTTAACGGGTGAAAATGGCATAGTAACCCCGCCTGCGCTATACACTGGCGGGGTACCAATGAGAGGTTATAGATTAGGATGAAAAAGCAGGTCAGTTAGCCCATCGTGACGAATTCAACGATAAATTAGTCACGATAGTTTCCAGAGGGAACCGCGAGGAGGTCGACCTGATACGGTATATTGATAGCAATGGGGATTAACTTCCCCATTACTAACATCCCTTCCCCGAGTTGTATCTGTTGAGAAGATATTAATAACTATTGGAAACAAACTGAAATGAAAACAATTTTATAACAGTATTAAAAGTATAAGTAAATATATCAGTGAGTAATATTTTATGGAGAAATCTGTATACTCAAGATGAAGACGTCGAGCTGTTTTTCCTCGGCCTTGGTTTTTCCTTTGCTGCTATACTGTACACCTTTACATTTTGTCCGGTGATATTCTGAAACAATGGTTACATTGTTCACCATGGTGACAAGGACAAAATACCAACGGCCTAGTTGCATACTGCATTAGATTTGCACGTCATAAGCTGTGTCTGTCTATAGAATATAATGAAAAAATGGACAAGCGAATAATTAATCAGGTCATAAATAAGTTCAATAGGAGCACAAATAAAAATATCGATTAATGTGATTTAGAGAGTGTTGATATAATATTATCAACAAAATTTACTTACTTTTTCATAAAGTTTTATTGACATAGATTATACAAGTCATCATTATTATGTCTTTAACTGTCCACTGCTGAACATGCCTCCAACTTGAGGGGTTTTGTCAGTAGTTGCCATGCTTGGCAGGCGGATTGGCAGCCGCAGTTATGGCTTTGGAGATGTTTTAAAAAGGACGCTGCTACCCATCCTCGCCCTCATGACACCCACGGAAAAGGAAGGGGTGGCCTATTCTATGCCGGGACCACTCGGCAGATTACACAAGTACGTTACGCAAATGTCTTCTAAGTATAAAAGTTCTTTTTAACAAATACTAACAAAAGATTGCATTTTCTTCTAAATCCAGTATAGTTTTTTGTAAAAAAAATGACAATGACTTACATTTTTTTTTATTCTAAGAACGCTATAACTAACTGCTTATTAAAGTAGTTATACACTTTCCAAGTAGGTTTATTGCACTTGCACAGAAAGTTGTAATAAAAATATTATATTTAGCAATATTTGTTGTATAGTTGAGTGAAAATTAAGTACAAAAGTAATCCATATTTTTTTTTAATTTTAAATTCAAAATGATAGATAGTTTTATTAAAATTAAGCGTTCATCAATAATGAAGAAAATGCACGCTCTTTAGACTACAACCTGTTTGTTATATAGTCGTTCTGGCTATAGTTTGCACCTAAAATCATTTTAAAGATCCAAACATTATACAGGTGCCCAGTAAGTCATGGATCAGATTCTGAACAAAGGGCGATACTCACCCTTTTAAAAAAAAATTAACAAAAATTAATTAAACGAATAGTTGCAAAATTAGTGACTTTTATTTTTCTAAAATTATTTCTATTGGGATGACATGTTTTATTAATATTTAATAAAATAGTGCATTCTATAAAATTCTTTTTATGTAAAGGGAAAAACACAATGTGGCTCTTATGTACTGTCATATGTATATCATTCTATCGTGAAGCAGCTTCGGTTGGCTGTGCTTCGGTTTGAAAAGAAGAATATGACAGTAAAATTACAGCGTAGTTTAAGAAGGTATTACTAAGGTCCTCAGGAATAGCAACCCTTAGGGGTATTATAGGAGTTACATTGTATTAGTTTGTGTCATCATGGGGAAGAAAGGTTCTGGAGTGGCGACCTCGTAGGGGTAAATGCAGTGTAAAACTACTTTTCTCTAGATAGAATGACATCCTCAAGTGCATTGCAGGGACTAAGTGGATGCAGGTGGTTTAGCACCGTTCCTCATGGCAGTCTATGGGGGAGGCCTATGTCCAGCATACGTGAACGGCTTAAATAATGAATAAATGTTCCATTTTGCAAAAAATGATGCCATTTTCCATTACGTGGGCCGTTAGCTTATTTGCCTTTCTGAATTGTATAAAAAATAATATCCTGTTTATTATTTTGAATCCGTTAACCTTCTGACCTGATCATCCAGCGTAGGGCCGTAAGTCTTCAGTACGGGTGTTTCAAGTGTCTTCGTGTAAATTGAACGTCTGTGGTGAGCTCGCACCGCATCATGCAGTAAGGCGTGAGTGATGCAAGCTCGGTCGGCTGAACGCGCGATACAACGCACCTCGCGGAGTGCATCCAGGGCAATGTTTAATCGTACCCGTCCCAAGAATGCGTATAGAGAGCTTTCTTCTTCTTGATCCTGTAATGTTAAACATCTCAGTAGGTTCCCATCGACCCGGTGAACAGTTACTAGCAATTTAGCTGACAGTATTTTTTTTTTCAATGGTGATAATGGAATGGTAACCCCGCCCGCGCTAACGGTATATGCTGGCGGGGCATTAATAACTATCCCTTTCCCCCAACTTAAAATATTAGGTGGGCATCAACATAGTCTTCTTTGAAAATCATCTTAGTTCATTCTTTATATATGAGTCATCAGCGTCAACCTTTAGCGCAAATAGGGTTACAATTCTGATACTGAAGTTTCATTTTAGACTTCAAACCATACATGCTGGGAGATTGAGTGGTAAAAAAAGTAGAAAAATCGTAAAATGACGTCATAATTAAAAACATTTAGATTAAAACAAGTTCAGTCTGGTAGGAACCTTTGGTTGGACTTTGTTTTGCAGTTCTCTTTTCACTTTGATAAAGATATACTTAGGTGCCGAAATTTAATCGTTTTTATATGTATATACCTTTTTTCTTTCATTTTCGATAATTTGTTCTTGTTGGCGTTTTATTTCTTTGGCCCAGCCCCTGTAATACAATTTAAAAAAGTATATGACTAGGTACCTGATACTCCGTTTTAGATTTATATTCTAATGACATAAAATAACAGTTTTTTATCCTTTAAAATTTAATATAATTATTTTTAACAGAATCTAAACAAAGAAATATTAAACTTACTTGCCAATATGTAGAAACTCTCTAAGTATATAATTATCTTGGGGTAGTAACTCTGGATTTTGGGCTTGCGTCTCCATCCAAACTTCGTTAAGTTTTATTGTCAGATAATAAGAACAAAGCACCAGAATCGCCTGTTTTAAAAATATCACATTTCAAAATAATATATACAAATTATCACCGTTCTGCTCTTATTTTGTACTTCATTGCTAAAGACTAATAGTTATTATATTTATTTTCAAGTCATCACAAATATTATCTACGTACTTCATCTATTTTCATAATTTGTTTCATGCATGGCCCTATTACAATTTATAAGTTTAAAAAAGGATTGTGATGCGTAAAATGCTAGATTTTAAAAAGTTTAAATAACAATCACTAATGTGAAATAAAATTTCGATAGTATTACTTATAGAATAAACATGAGAATAATAAATAATAGAATAATAAATAGGTCTATATTCTTTTTTATTTACAATAATTCAATCTATTAAGAGACACTATTCCTCACTATAATATATTAAACAAAATATATTTGTAAATAATTTTATGGTAATCTTGTAAGGCACAAAAACTCACAATGAGTGAAGTATTTTGAACCTTGAATAAGCAATTTTTTGTATCATTCCATGAAAGCAAAACAACGGCGCCCGTTCAACTGGCGGTACCATCGCCTACACAATAGATATGGTGTCAAATGAACCAACCAGTGGATATAAAAATGTTGAGTTATACATGTGTTATATTTTTTTAATAAGAATAACAGCCTAGCTTACCTTTTGCCAGATGGATTTTTTACCTACATTTAAAAATGCTGTAAACAGCATTTCGTTAGGTACTTGATATATTATATAATAAATCTTACCTCGTCTTCTGGTGCCAATTGTACATTCTTATAAAGGTTGTAGGCTTCATCAGCTAAATTTACTTTGTATTCAAAATCAACTGACAGCATATGCAAAATAGCGTAAGCCTGCAATAAGATCACATTTTTACTTGATAAAATATAGTTAAACAATATTATTTATGGATGATGGACTTACACGTATCTTCAGCGATAGTAAAAATGAAATCCATGGGGCAATGTCAAAAAGTTGATTTCCATCCGAAGAATTATCGTAAACTCTAAGCTTCAGTGATTAAGATTGAAAATAAAAAAAAGAACCGAAAATTTACTGATTGCATGATCTTCACAAGTATAGACACAGTTTGCAGTTCACTGGTATTAGCGGCAAAAGCGATATTGATAGCACGCGGTCAATAAAACAATAAAGATGATATGAGACATTAAAAGACATTTTGCCTGACTCTAGTATAAAATAATTACCTTGGACATTCTAGAACCAGCCAAATTTGCAGCCGCCAAGCAATAAGGCGTACGCGTATTTTTGTCACTGCAAAACTCTGCATCATTCAGTTCACATCGCACGATCGATGACAATAGAGGACAATTTAAATCTGAGGAATAATAAACTCAAAACTAGAAATGCGAATTGGAAAAATACAATATGATTTTCTGAAACCTAAAATAAATTAACTATCATAAGTGGTATATAACTTGGTTTTCTGGTCCAGAGGCAGCCAGTTATGAAGTATATAATGAACAGCACAATAATGTATATTTGGAATTCTCAATTCCATAATGTCCACAATGTAATGTACAATCTCCGGTGATTACCACTTTTTCTCAGTTTGCTTACTACTTCTATATACTTATTATAAAAAAACTTGTAGTGGAGAACATGAATAGTTCCTTAAAAAAACTTGCAGTGGAGAACATGAATAGTTCCTTACCCTGCAATATACCATATTCATTCAGCTTAACTCCTGTAGCTCGACATTCGTCACGAAATATCGCTGCTAACAAACTTGCAACTGTTGCCCCACGTTTAACTAAATTTGAATTCTGAAATGTGGTTAATTTATTAGTTGAAGATGCTGATGTGTATTTACATAACAGAAATCTTAATTATTTTATCTCAGCGATGATTCGCTACAACCCATCCTTCATCTACTATTAAACAAAGGCTCTCCCACATGCAACTATGTGGAGGAGTCTTAACTATACAACACCTCGTCTACTCCATTTTTTGCAATGTTTTTAGGGTTTTTTTTTATTATTCCATGGCAAAAGTCATCTATTAAGTTTGCTTGTCACCACTCAACAACTTTTCTCCAATCGGTTACCAGTTAGTCAGCTATATCCCCGTACAGCTTCCAAATTTCAAACAGGAATTCTACCATTATACAAAAGATCTTCGATCTCATACAGTAAAAATGATACAAATTCCTAAATAGGAAATAAAAATTCGTATAACTGTTGTTGATGAGGTCAAATATATGATGGACAGGATAGGAAATATAATGAAATGATTTACAGCACTGGAAGCGCCATTAGTAGCTCTCCATGTGACCAGCTGACCAATAGCATCTCCGGCGCGCGCCGCATCGCATATCAGTGCTAGGGCGATGCACTGAACCGGGGGACTCGTCATCTGTTAATTTTTAATTTGTTAAGTAATTCTTAGTTCGTCATTATATAGAAATACTAAAGTGCTACCAATAAATGTCACTATTCCTTTTTTTCAGGTAGGATGTTGCGAGAGACATTTGAAAAATTAGGGAACACAATGATAATACGAGCACCTACGAGTACACCATCATCATATCATATCAGTCGTTATCTGTCCATTGCTGAACATAGATCTCTCCCATAAAAGGGGTTTTGCACGCTTGGCAGGCTTGTTTGCAACCGCAATTAGGATTCGGTGATGTTTGAAGACAAGCTATGCTGCACATTTCTCGACTGTCAAATTCCCTTAGTCACATCTTTCGATACCCATAAAAAAGGAAAAGGTGGCCTATTCTATGCTGGGACCGCACGCCAAAATACGGGTACTCGTACATGTGTATGTACAAAAGAAAAATTTTTACTATTATATGTATATTATACACATGTGGAAGTGAGTCTAGTTGTCACTTCTTATCATTCTAACGACTCAACAAAAAGGGTTATAGGTTCGATCCCCGCACAGTATAAACACTTTTATTAATATCTGTTTATAATGATATGATTATTTTCTATTAAAAAATGTTAAAATGTTCAAAAAAAGTTCCTCAATTATCTAATAAGTGTATTTGTAATACACTTATTAGATAATTGAGGAACTTTTTTTGAGCACTGTTTAAGTTGAAATTAATGGCGCGGTATAATTTGCACAGTATCAATTATTTATTTGTTTATATATATTTTTATAACTTATGTAAAGGTCGAAGGGTCGAAGGACCACTTGAAAAGTCGAAAAAGTTTGAAAGGCGTGAGAATAAAAATAAGAAGACAAATTTATTGTCGTCAATTTGTTCGCCTTCTTCTTCTGTCTTGGTCGTATTCATTTATCTTGTCGAAGGCAGTTAGGTTTTGTCTTTCGAATCTCTTAGCAACCAGAGAGAAAACCATTCAAGGAGACCGCAACAATTTATTTTTATCTATCCTCATATCTACTTTTAGGAAGTTGTATCCAACAAAAAGAAGTACCCAGAAGCGAATAGCGGACCAATCAGGAGCCAACATCTAATTCAATTGAACACTTAGTTATCCAACGTAAGGAAGTCACGATTCCCGTTTGTTAGTGAATATTTTTCACAATCTCACGATCTAGTCTACCCGCCCGAGTAAGAGCGGTCCTTGTTCGAATTCCTTTTATTGATTACAAACTATTTTGAAAATGTACAAACCTGTATAAAAATTATTCGTATTCCGTAATGAGATCTTAGTATAATAATTGTAACTAAACAATGTCTGTATATGAAAGATATTTAAAAAAATCGATGTAAGTGGTTTTAAAAGGAGCAATAAAAGCCAAAACAATTATTTATAAAATATTTGTCTGTCTGTTCTGTTCTGTATGATTGTTCTGGTATCACGTAAAAACTACTGCACCAAATTGAATGTGGTTTTCAATGTTCCTGAAGATCTAACTTAAAACTGATATATGTATTATTTTGACACAACGTTTAAAAATGATCTGATATTGACTTTCCTACTTCTAAAATCCTCACATGCGAAATAGTGGGTAAAAAGCTAGTATATGATAAAATTACGACTAGGTACATGGTCGGCCCACTTCATAGAAAGTGGTAAACATGGATTGTATAACATTAGATATTTATGTTCTATGAGTAAAAACTAATAAACAAAGGTCGTAATTGATGTATACTTTTTTGTAGATTTGATCTGGATTGAACCAATTAGTAGATACTTGAAACCTTTATAAGGGAGGCGATCCATAGATATTACTGAATAAATATCAATACTATGCCACTAAAATATTTCACGTTACTTTATTACGTAAAATTTATTAAAATTTAAAATCACAATAAAAGGATTACTGTACGTAATAGTTAATTTTTAATATTGGCTATGTTGACACATATTTTAAATAGATTATCGGAACTTAACGAAACGCAATAAGTTTCGATAGTATATTTAAAATATAGGATAATATGCATTTTGTGATGACTATATTTACGTCCAAAACTAAATGCATAAATAAACTTACGGTTACTATATCCAATAATTTGAATATACCATTGTTAATAATAAAAATGTCTCTGTATTCTTTCTTCCAAATTATTGACTCCCAAACGAAATTTAGTAATGCAATTAACCATCTGTAAATAAGCAATTCATAACTTGTTTTTTTACTTTCATACTACTACTTACTTGATGTAAGAAACTCCTATGCCTTATTTTAGGTATAAAAGATCTATATTGTGTGAAGAAATATCCACTGATTTAAGCAGTGCGCTATTAATAGTAAAATTTATAAATATTTATCTAGATTTTATTAATTATCCAAGAGGAAATGCTAGGCTACGTTAGACTGAAATATGCTTTAGGAAATGCGGGCAAGTCTAGGTCGAGGATAGTGATTACCATAACGACAAGAGTATAGGTAATACTCCAATAATAAACCTTTCAGTGCAACAGAATGAAACTATCCTTATAAGTGAGAACACCTGCACTATTTCTATAGGTTTTTAACCGATTTCATTGTACCCAAAAATTATCAAAGATAAATTCTTATATAACATATCTACTTATATTAATATGTTTTTTTTTATGAAGATTAATTTAAAATTTCACAAATGCAAACCATTTTCGACATGAACATAATTATACAATTAGAAATTGTCACACACAATACAATAGAAATAGTATTTAAAAATATAATTGTTTACAATTTGTGAGCAATTACATTTTGAAACTGTATTTCCATTTACACTACATTATATCTCAGTTTACGTAATTTATTTACAAATGCTAGTAATCATCATCATCATCTTCCTGCTCTTATCAAAATTATTTGGGGTCGGTGTAATACATTTTGGCTTTCGGTATTAACACCGGCCGCCTATCTAATTTCAGTTCTTCTTGGGAATACATTTGTTGGTGGAAACCGCCACCTACGATATGAAGAATAGAATCGAGAAAAAAAGGGACGTTGGGAGTGAGTAAAGGAAATTAGTAAACACAGACAGTGCAGTTGCAAGGACAAATTGGTCAGAAAATGCAGTGGATCAGTGGTCGCATACTCGTGTGCCCTTACACTAGAATCAGATAATTCACTAGAAGAAAATATCGCAGGCATTAAAAATTGTAATAATAATATTTAATAAAATGGTGTCATTTCAGAACTAACCATTAATAATATCGAGTACGCACACTAAATGGGCGTAATCGGACCAAGGCCCCTAATTGTCCACAGTTTCATGTACCTATTTAATTGCTCGCATCCTTTCAATATATTGATGGAAGTAACACATTTACCCATTTACTATCATCATTTAAGCGTTCAGAGTATGGCGCAATCATTGATCAAATATTACAGAACACCTACTTTACAGTAGTAAACCTTACTTTACCTAAGTCAAGTGAAATCAGAAAACGAACTTGGTTCGTATTAAGATCTGAATTGTATTTCAGTTCATTGTCCAGTTTCTTACAATCAGGTAATTAGTATGGCTGTTAAATAATTTATCTTCACATGACCTTTACGCAGTAGGAAGAGAGGACCGAATGCCAAAGGACTATGTTCCTACATGGATCCCTTCATTCATCCACTTTCATAACCCATTTCATACATCGTAATGTATTCCGACAACTTGATTTGACTTCATTGCTTAAATTACTAAACTGATAATATTGATATATAATAGGTTCTTTAAACAATTTTATTTTTATAATGCTGGATTGTTATATGAGTAATAGATGGTAACCCTACTTATTTTTATCGCACCATACAGGAACAGATTTCGACTCGAGAACATTCACAATGATAGGTATAGAAGCAGTGGCGGACTAAGCCCGTCAGAAGCCCGGGGCGGCAAAGTTGAATGAGGCCTTCAGTTTTAAAAGTTCTTGTAATTTTACAAGCTTATTATTCAGTTTACATTTGTATATATAAGTGTTATTATTATTTAATTAGTTAAAATCATGCAACTAAAATTTAAAATAAAACTTAAATAAATATACATAGATTGTGGACCTGGACGAGGAAAATGGCGGCCTTTGGAGGATTCTATTTTACTCATGTTCCCTATGGGGAAGCCCTCCAGGACAAAGAGCCTGGGACATGCAGCCCCTTCCCCCCTCCCTTAGTCCACCACTGCATAAAAGCTAAAGAATAAGCTAACCTGTCACTGATAATAAAGTTTTTTTCAAGAGCAAACAGTATCACATCGAGCATTTTTCTCGCAAAGCTATTGACGGATGATGGCCATTTGATGTTTGGATACACGCAGCATTTTAGACGCGTGTTATTATCCACGGCGCTGGTGAGTAACCGGAGGCACAGAGCTATGATTGCTTGACTCTTTTCCACTGGAGGCGACTTTTGTTCAAGAAGCGTGTCGCAAAGATCTGAAAACCAGAAAATATGATGACAGATCACTTGATGGAAAATGGTAATCGTTGCTTATAGACATGAACAGAACCAGGGAAGTCGCAGAACATAAAACCTTTCATATGAAGAAAAAAGATTGTTAGTAAGGGGTCTAAAAGCCCCATTGCTAGCAATATACCCTTACAGGTCAACCTCGACGCAGTTTCCCCTGAAAATCATCATAATTGATTCTTGTTGAATTCACCATGATGATTCAACTGTCCTGCTTTCACCTTCGCCTATCATTTCTGACTGACGTCCCGCCAGCGTATACCGTCGATAGCACGGGCGGGATTACCATTCACACATGGCAATATGGGTATTAGGTATATGTTGTGGTTATGTTATTACTGGTATGAAACGAATGGTGAATTCAAGCAAGCATCAGCAATATAATCAAGTTCGTACATATATTCTATCTATTTCAAATCAAGTCACGTTAACTTCTGAAAATACGTTTAAATATGATGTAAAATAATATACTAAAATTGATCGAGTAAATAATAGTTTTCTATCACAGCTTTTTCCAAAATAAAATCATCTATTAAATAAATTATAAATGGATACAAAAGAATTAAACAAGAGATAATAAATATAACGAGTTTCTCTACAATTTGACATAATTATTAATTAGAAATAGGTATGATTTAACCTTAAATTTAGCGAATTTTCATATTCAAATTAATTATATTCGTTTTATAATATAATAATCGTACTTACGTATTAGGATAATGATGCCATGAGTGTCAAACAAATCTTGAATGGAGGCAGTACGCTCTGGTGTATCTCTGTTGTAAATAGCTACCTGCAGCAGTCTAACACACCAATACAGTACAGGTAACTCGTAAGGACTCTCGGTGTACCATTCGATGTACCACAATATTCTAGAACAAAGACAAAATGTTTCATCTTACTTAGAACGACAAAGACGCTGACGGATCACCTATAAACTTGAACACCACTGAAAATCACATTTTAAATATTCTATGACATGCAAGGTACCTTTCTATTCTGTATTATAACTTTGCCATTTTGATATAAAAAATACTTCAGATTAGCTATGTGTATAAGTTGTATTTATATCTTTAACGATTTTTTTTTTATGAATAGCAAACAAGCTGATCGCCCACCTGATGGAAAGTGGCGAACTATAAACACGAAATAGCACTATTTATATCACAGAATTCACTGCGATCCTTCATGTGTTGCAATTTCTTAGATACATAGTGTATCTATCATGTAACTATATTTATTTCAAATAAACCAGATAATTCACCTTCTTATCAGTCCATAATCTTTGGCCAGGTGGTGTGCAGCCAACGGCAATGTGCACACCAAAGCTTGCAGGGCTATCTTACGAATTTCAGCGAAAAGAGATGGTGACCACTTGGCCCTGAGGGAGCAAAGACCTGGGTCTAAAAGATACATGAGACCGAGAAGCCAGTGTTGAGATTCCACCATCTAAAAATTTTAACTTTATTTAAAAACATTTCCTGACAAAATCTAATCATGAATGAATCGTGTTAAATTATATTATATTCCTATTTTCTAGGTGTTTGTGAATCAGGCTTTCTTGTTATCTTTTTAATATTATGGATGTAAAAATTTAGATCTTTGTTACGTATACTGAAAAGGTCGAACAGATTTGATTAAAATTTTGTAGAGAGATCGTATCCAAATTTTTACTAATATAAACGGACAAACTCCCAGAGTACAGTTAGTTTTTAACATCACTTTCTAAACCGAATAGTTTATTTAAGTCTGTAGTAAAAAAAAAAAGTTTTATAACTAATTAAACACTTACAAATTTATTATATGGGAAAAGCTTGATCATGTCTACAGATAGAGAAATAAGTATTTTCTTGAACTGAACATCCAATTGTCCAGTGTTGAAATTTACAGTGGAAATCCAATCCGATCTTCGAGGCAGCTCTGTCAGAACTGACAACGACATCACATCTATAAAAGTGACATAATTAACCGTATACATCAAAATATTATGAAACCTCAGAATACCAAGAAACTTATTTCAATAATTTTACGCGTCATATAGTGCTCACGTATTCATTACTTTTACAAACCTAAAACCGTTTTGAACATGTAAAAATCCGCGCTATTTTCAGACTCCATATCAGCCGTTAACTGTACACCGCTGAACATAGGCTAACACTTAATAGGAGAGATGGCAACCGCAGTTAGGCCTTGGAGATGTTTTAAAAGGGACAGTGCTGCCCATCCCTCGTACATCAAGTTTCCTCCGTTGACGACACCCGTGGGAAAGGAAGGGGTGGCTTATTATATGCTGTGAAATTAAATTATGCAATTAATTTAATCGAGTAAACGTCAAAATAATATCATGAAAACTTACTTAATTTAATTATAAACTAAATTATTATACAATTTCTGTAACGGAATAGAGTAGTTTTATATTTAAAGACACTCTTGCTTTTTTGTGAAACACATACCAGGCATTAGTTGGTTAGAGAAACACATCAATCGATCACCAAAACAGTGCAATAGAACCATGGCGATTACAGTCATCGTATTTCGCTGATGCCCGTGTCCCCTCGCTCGGCATTCATATCTGAATGCCCATATAAAACATCTGTAATCATAATACATATATATTTTTTTTAATAATTAATACTATTTGAAGTTAATCACTCTTATTATTTGCTTAATCCACGTATTTCTTTTTAAAATATTGTAATTTTTTTATATTATTTTACTGGTACAGTAATATCTAAAAAATTGTCCCATACCTTCAGTATCGAAAATATCTTTAGACAGAGAAATCAGTATATAAATTGTTTCTGGCCTATCATTTATCATGCAAATTTTTACTTTACGAGAAATAAAATTTTAGTATTGTTATACGAAGCATAATCTTTGGAGCTTGTAGACCAGTTTAACAATTATTTTATATACTAATAGGAAGCTACACTACTCTTAAACGCTTACGTAATTTTACTTAAATTCCCAATAGTATTGTGGATAATTTTTAATGTCGTAAAAATCAATTGATGGCTAAAGCTATCTATCTGGAAAATGTAAGGTAAATATTATTATAGGGTAAAAATTACTAATACTAATTTTATAATCATAATACCTTTGTGCATAATTATCTGGACAAGGAAGAAGTAACTTTAACTTGGGATTTTCATCCAGATATTGTTTCGTTGTTTTTCCCAGCACAAGTAATAAAGATAGAGTAGTTGATATATTAACACTGCTATCACCTATAAAATAACTATAAATTAATGCCTTTAGATAATATTTTTATTTAATGCAAATAACTATATTGTAAAGAAAAATAAGGTAATGTATTGGATATACTAAAAGATCTAAAGACTGGGTGCTATAGGCTCCCCTCTTGGACACAAGGTAAGAGTCAGATGTACTTCATATCTGATTGTTATTCTTCTATTAATTAGTGTAATAACATACAAATTGAATTTTATGTTATTATAATAAAATTGTAAAATATATATTCCTGTTATACGAGGAGAGACCCTTGTCTATTAGCACTCAAATATGTAACGTCCTACTGTTGGGGATGTTAGTAGTTTTTATAAGTAATAGTAGATATGCCTATACATTATAAGAAAAATAATAATACTTAGCAAAATATCTAGATAATACTAGTAGGTAAATACGATCATTTATTATTCATATTATGATTATGATAAAGTGAATTAGAAAAGGCTTTATAATTAAGCGATAAGTGACTAGAATACAGTCGAATTAATATCATGCTTAAATGGTTAATGCATCAAATTAGGACTCATTATTTTTTAATTAAAATATAATACCTTTATGACAGAAATATAAATTTTGCTTGTTTGAAATTAGAAAGTGTGGTGTATACAACACAGGTAAAGGTCGCTAACCTAATTTAATATTGTAGTCTTGTGGATCTGCTGGATTGATATCGTAAACTGGCAAATTTCTCTCCGGGAAGTATGGATTGAAGCGGTAAAATATATTTTCTATAATATTTTCTCTCATCATCTCTATACCTACAATTTTAATTTATTTTATTTTACAATCTTTTGAAGAATCATATTATTCAATCCTTTAAGCTACTTATGTATAGTACTAGCGGTCCGTCCCAGCGTCGCACGGGTGGACATTTTTACATTTTAAAAAGTGGCCATTAAGGCTGCACATGCGACGGCAGCTTAAAAATGGCGTAACTTCTCCCGTTTTCCCAACATTTTCCTTCACTGCTCTGCTCCTATTGATAGTAGCGTGATGAAAAGTATACTAAAACCTGCCCAGGAGTATGAAGAATAATTGTACCAAGTTTCGTTAAAATCCAGCGAGTAGTTTTTGTTTCTATAACGAACATGCAGACAGACAGACAAAAATTTTACTGTTTGCATTTTTGGCATCAGTATCGATTACTAATCACCCCTTGATAGTTATTTTGGAAATATATTTCATGTATAGAATTGACCTCTTTACAGATGTATTATAAATATACTCGTAGATATGTGTCCGATTTTTATGTATCTATATTTGCCTTTTTATATCTATATATATTTCAATAGGCCATGTGCCTAATTTTAAATTCAGTATTAGTTTATTTTTAAAAGTGAACCAAGAAAGAGTATAAAAATCACGTTATTTATTATTCAGTATCAATAACAGTATTGCCGCGTGGTCCCGGCGTAGAATGGCGTAAAAGGGGGGGGGGGGAGGAAATGTAATGGATGGGGAACGGGCAGCAGCGTCCATCTTAAAATATCAACAAAGCCTAACTGCGGATGCTAATTCACCTGCCAAGCGTGGCAACTACCGACAAAACCCCCCAGTAATAGGCGGCCTATATTCAGATAACAGCTGATATGCTGTGGTGCTATTCATGTCTTTTGTAATAGTTATTATATTCTTACTGGTGAGCCGTCAGCTTCTTTGCCGTTCAAAGTATCATAAAAAAAGTGTTAACGTCATATTTCAAACCATTTCCTTTAAAATCGTTTCCATTATATTCTAAACTAGCTTTTTTTCCGCTACTTTGTATGCGTGGATTTCAAAAGTAGTAAAACTAATAACCAATTTCTAAATGATATATCAAGATAAAACATACACCAGTTTTTAAGTTAAATCTTCCAGAATACAATAGTGAATATTTCATTCAATTTGGTGCAATAGTATTTGCGTGATGCCGGAACAAACATACAAATAGACAAACAGACAAAATTTCTAAAAGTTATTGTTGTGGTCCTATTGTTGTTAAGACCCCTCATATCAATTTTACTTAAATATCTCCCGTGTACAGATATCGTTTAGTTACAATTTTATTTTATTGGTAAGATATATATTACAATAGTTATCACTTACAATTATCAACGTTATCACAAGCCAATAAGAGAGCAACCTCCAGGTAAGTGGGATATCTATGCAAGGTGCTAACTCCTAACATTCTGACTACTGTCTGATATAGTACTGGAGCGGCTGCAGCGAGGGTGTGCCGGAGTTGAGCAGCTCCATGTCCACGAATCTGGTCAGGTGCTGATAACTGCCATATTAAACCCTTCGAGACCAGGTCGAATACGTCATCGTTGGGGACTTGCATTAAAAGGTAGCCTTAAATTTTAAAATAATTTTCAATAAAACTTTAGGAAATAATTACGGTTCCTATCATAATCATATGTACTCAAATATACTTATATTTGAGAACGTATTATGCTATAATTGAAGCATGTAAATTTGATATAGAAAGATAATGTGATCCTAGAGGTCGATGGGTCTGTAAAACATTGTCTTATGGTCTGAAGATTCCAAGATCGAAATATCATAATCTCAGAATTTTACTTCTTGCAAAATTATTTATTAATTTCTTATTATATCATTAAAAAAATACCTAAAAGAACATAAATAAAATAATAGCAAAGAAAAAGGCAGTGTAGATGCTCCAGCAACTTTTTCCAGACAATCTTCGATTCAATTAATGTGACTTAAATTTTGTGATACGTGAGAAAAGTTAAAATAACTCTTCTAATCGGTACAACCCTCATAAGATTAGCACGTATTAATAATTTTTTATTGTAATAAAATTTTTTAAAATACTTGATAATTATTATGAATAACAGATAATAAATTATCGGGTAAAAGTAGAACGCTGTTCTCAATCACGTGTGGCACGTGGGGTCCGTTCGACAATGCGAGTATGATTCCTTAATAGGAGTAAAATCCTTTGAGTATTACTGGCAATGCCCTCATTACTGTTGCAGACGTTAATCTAATTGGTATTCCTCGTGTTATTTGTCATTCTTTTACGGAATTCATCATTGCTTTTAACATGGACTAATCACTGTTTGAGTCTAGAAAGTTGTAACCTTATCGCAAAAGGGAGAAGTCGAATTAAATTAAAATGTTCTATACACACTGTTTGAATATAGTTTGCCAGATGGTAAGCTACTATCACAGTCTGAAATCGCTTGTAAAACTAGAGTTTGTAAGAGAGAGGAAATTGCGCATATCGGAACTTGTAACATAAAATATTGAGTTGCAGTATCCAGTAGATATAGATTATCTATGACATAGCATACCCCTCCAAAATTTAAAGAATTAAAACTACTCTTATGTGAGTAAAAATGTTTAAAAGGTTTCAATGTAGGAATTAGGCATGGATAATATCGGTACTAACAATCCCTCCCCCCCACGTCTGTATGTTGTCATACATATTGATATAAAAAGTTAGAGAGGCGTGCCATCTTAACGTTAACCACATATAATTTCATTAGCATATTTAAAGGAAAAAATGCAGACAACTTGCGTTGCAGCTATATTTTTATATGCACATAGAGACAATAATACTTATCACCTACAAGTGTGATTACTAAGTAGATATAAACAAATTAGTAATAGGTATATATTTTTAACAAAATCAATAACATTGCACAGCTGAACTATAAATAAAGAAAGAAATATACGTACCCAAAAATCCTAAATACCGTCTGAGATGGTCGAAATAAGTTATAACATCCGAAGCGGAATTCAGTAGAATCGGTTTATCCATATTCTGAACTAGAAGCATCAGCTCTTCCTTTAACGCAGGCTGGTTGTATTGTGCTTCTATCAAATTATCTAGTACTATGCATAGACTATCCAGAATGTCGATTTTCTGATTACTTCATCGGAATATTACAGAATTATATATAATAAAATAATTATATAAATTATATAACAAAGTATTAAAATTTTTATCAGGGAAAAAAATTCATTTATTCGTACTTCTATTGAATTACGACATATTATATATTAACCAAATATATATTAATTATACCCAAAAGATAGCAACAAATTATATACATCCACGTTCATATTCGTACATTATAATTATTGTAATTATAATTATATGCAATTTGTAAAAAATACTTATGACCATCTGGGTACATACTATCATCATCATATGAGCCATTAACTGTTCACTACTAAACATAGGCCTCCTCCATAAGAGGGATTTTGTCAGAGGTTGCCACGCTTAGCAGACGAGTTGGCAATTGCAGTTAGGCTTTTGGTGATGCTAGGGACGTTGTTGCACATCTCTCGACTATTAAGTTTTCTTAGACGGCTCTTACGCAGCCACGGGAATGCAAGGGATGGCCTACTCTACGCCGGGATCACACGTACATACTATAATATGGTTATATACTGTAAAGGTATGGTTTATCATATTTTTTTAAGATTAATCCTATAGAAGGTACCTAAGTACGATTTATGATTAACAGCTAACAGCGCTTTATAGATTTAAATATTACGAAACGTACCTACTCTATCTCGAGTCTCGATAAACTCACAGCAGACGCGCAAAGTGTATTCTCAAACATATAATATTTCTTGTGTTCATAACACGGGTTCATAGAAACATAATATATCAATGGTGCCTACTTATTGAACGTGATCGTTTCACAATTGGGACACCCGCTTTCCCTTTCTCGTAAGTTTATGATTTTAGGTGTTTGTCTTACGCCACATATTTCATGGTCAATTAATCGAATTCGAATTAAAAACTTGTACTTACGATTACATTCACTATTTAGGATATATTACATTATAAAATATAATTATAGGATTAATTTGTAAAACTACTAATGCACTTTTTAAAAACATTATTTTATTTTAGAATATTTTTTCAGTTGTTTTATCATCGTCAAGTATATATAAATATAATATAGTATACTAGAGATTGGCCCGGCTTCACACAAGTAGACAGAATTTTCAAAAATAATATATAGCTTTTGTTACTGACTGATAATGAACCTTTCAGTAGGTGAAAGAATTTTTAAAATCGGTTGAGTAGTATTTAAATTTATCCTTTATAAACAAACAAATATTTCCTTTTTGTAATTTAAATTTTACGATATAATAAAACCCTTAGATATACGTAGATTATATTTCATATTTAACCAGATATTGAGTAGAAGATAGCACTCCATAAGAAGACTATGGGTGGAAGGGGCGGCCTATGTTTCTAGGGATTCTCTAAAAACTACTTATGATTTATACTTATTGATTTTTGCTGATCGATTCGTATTTTATTTTCTTCATTCATATCTTTATTTTTAATGCAAATGTGAACTGAATAAAAAGCTTGTAAAATCACATCAAATTCTTAAACTGGGGGCTTCATTCAGCTTTGCCGCCTCAGGCCTCCGACAGGCTTAGCTCGCCACTGAGCACTGTACATACTCGTATGAATGAGTTAGTTACTGATTACGCTTAAAATATAAGAACGTCTCCGATGACAACCATAGACGTTGTATTTAAAAGGATACAAAACCGTAGCAAGATATTCTGGACAAATCCCGAAGGTGAGCCTTCAGCCGATCGATTTGCTGCGTCACAGTTGGGTCTGTGATTAGAAACTCTAACTTCTTTACTATCTCCCAATTGTAAGTTAGTGGACATTCGTCGTTCCATTTACGGTCTAAATAATAAAATAATATTATTATAAACGTAAAAGTTTGTAAATAATTTTGAAATTTTATTAAGTATACTTAGATAGTCGAATGATTTTAAATATTTAATACACTAAGGAATTACATGTACACAATTTAATGCATAATATACTATTAACAGTTCCGTAAGTATCCAACGCTCATATTGTATATAAAGACAGACAGAACCAGGACAAGTTCCATAAAGCGACCAGGATCGCATCATGGATAAACATAATTAAGGGTCTCGGATAATACCGAATGTAATAGAGGATTTCCGACAAAAAGACAAATCAAATCGGTTAAATTTACAAATAGCGACTCGCCATGCGTTTACAAGTTTTTTTTTATATAAAATAGGTAGGTACAGCCCACATTACACGTTTATAATATAGCTTTCTATAGGTGAAAGAATGTTTAAAATCGGTTAAAAATCTTTTGATTTTTTATTTGTAATTCTATTATTAATTATGATCATATATTTTTTTATTATATATTTATTATATTTTTTTGTATTTAATAAATAAATAAATAAAAATAAAATAAATTTATATTATTTGTAATAGACAAACAAAATATGAAATATTCGTATTTTCTATTTATTTATTTATCAAGACATACTAACAGTACATGTATAATACATTAAAAATATTTATACCTATAAAATATTATTTTATTAATATAATAAAGGCGACAGCTTGTAACGACAGATACATAGATGGATGAATGTTCGTTATACTTTCATACAAAAACTAGTGAACGGATTTGAATGAATTTTAATTAACTTAGTATAAAGGATACTTTATATATTGATTCACGCGGGTAATGATACGGGATGCTAAAGTATTATATAAATAATTTATATGCTAATCTAAGCAGGCTAAGTCGTGAGTATCAGACATATATATCTTGTACCATAAAAACATAAATTCGGCTAGGTTTGAAAAAAAATGTTTTTGAAGGTTATCCTGGTCAAGAGCCATAAAGAAAACTTTATTTACGAATTATGACTTATCATTCTCTCATTGACTGACGATTAATCACGGTATTTTAAAAATAACCCGTACTATAAAAACCTATTAACATTCTATTTCTGGGCATGGATCTCTCGCTATAATAGGAGGATATTAACCTATAGTTACTACGTTAGATGGTTTGTAGGGTTTTATTTCGAGTTTCTTTTTTGTGTGCCTAAATCATTTTATTTCCTCAGGCGCCTTAAGGTATTTTCGAATTGGAATCGTGTTGTGATATAATAAATTCTTTTAATCCGCCACAATATACTCAAAAATATAAATCAATTTCAATTTATTTTTACTTTTTATCGCTCATAAGAGCACATGTTTAAAAAAACACAAAAGATTTATAATAATTATTTCAAAAAATATTCAACCGACATCTAAAATGCATTACATTTTTAATAAAGAGTAAATATAATAAAATTGTAACTAAACCATGTCCATACATGAAAGACATTTAAGAAAAAAATATATGAGGCTTTTTGTTTTGCATGACGTAAAAACTACTGCACCAAATTGGATTCGGTTCTCACAGTTGTGATCTTAAAAGTCTAACTTAAAATCGTTACGTAAAAATAAAAAAAAAAAACAATCGGCTCGTCCAACTTATCTGCTTTCATCAGCGAGGACGGGGTTACTATTTTGTTGTCATTAATTAAAAAAAACCGTAAATTCCAAAATAATTAATATTTGTAAATCACAGTCTGGTACTACAAGCAACTTAATTATTCAAAAAATATAGGTTTAGAGGCCAGTATGGTGTCGCGAGAAATTAAATATAAGACCATAACACTACGTGTGTATTTAAACCATCCAACCACCAAAGGATATGTAGGCAAGGGAAAGTCCTCGTTTCTAGCACCATTAGAAGAACAGTAGTTTTATGACAAACTTTCTTTATGAATTTTGAATGCACATTGAAATTAAGAGGGCGCCCTTCTGCTGTAAATGTTTGTAGTTTTTACGTAAGGGCACACTGGCTCTTTTAGCAGAAGACCTTAAGCAGGTAGATCTTTATCTACCTGCTAAAGGCCTTCTGCCAAAAGCAGTACCTTTATATTCGAATGCCGAAGAGTGTTTTTATAATTTACTGTACAGTATTATATAATTTTATAGGAAAGAAAAATGTATTTAGTTGTATCTCCATACAATTTTTAAATCTAGGCAAAGACATCGCAGACATGCGTGAAAATTTAAAGTTGTATACAAATTCATGTGTTACGAATATAAAAAATTGTAATTAGGCGATGTGACAGAAGAAGACAGAAGATATTTAAGAAAAAATTATATGAGCGGTCTTAATAAAAGCAATAGAAAATTAAAAACAAATTTCTAGGAATTTTGCCTGTTCGTCTGTCCATCTATCTATCAAAGTATTAACAATGGGGGTTTTTAATTTATAAAAAAAGACTGATAAATAATTCAATCCTCGTGACATAGCCAATTTAGCGCATTCTTAGGGTTCAATAACATGTCCTTTTTGAAGAACTCCATATTGTATATATAATTTTTAATTTATAATAATCCTAAAATTTATTTTTATTCCTATTTATTTCTTAATTCTAAATGTATTAAAAAAATTATTATCCTTCGTCTATACTTACCTACAGGCACAGGATCTAATTCTTTTAAGAGATTCCTCTTTAATTTCCCTTTTTCACTATACTGTTTTCCTTCTGGCCCGTGGACACAGTGATAAGTTTCAGATGAGCCAGATATTGATTCCGAAAATCCCAAATATTCTTCTTTCGTAATTTTTTCATACGCATCTCGGTGTTTTTCGATGCGATAGTATTTTGTGTGCGATGCACTTTGAGAAACATTGCAATTACCCTTCGCTTTTTTCGTGGGCATATCAGCCTTTTTTCCTTTTTTTTTACGAGATTTAGATGATGTGAAAGTAGAATGCTTCTTTTCCATTATGTAGAATGACTACATTTATTTGTACCTATAATTAAATGAAATTATTGTACTACAATATTATTATTGACTACAATCTAGACCACTTCCGACGTTTATTTGTTAATTATATGCCAAAGCAGTCATTAAAAAGTTTTATTAGTCATCTCATAGGTGTTACTTAATCTATGGTTATTTTATAGTGGTATTGTTAGATAAAGCTAGTATAAAGATAATGAAACCTTTTCTTATTTTAATGAATGTGTTTCACTGTTTTACTTTTTCCGCGATTTTTCCACCAACAAAATTAGGATAAAGTAATCCAGGTGTTGAATTTGATACAAATGTTGTCGTAAGTTTCTACTATTATAATATCAGAAGAAACGATAAGAAGAATTCAGATACAAGTTATTTTAGTTATTATTCTTAGCGTTAATCCATATTACTGTTATCAATCAACAATTATGTATTTATATTTCTGTTAAGGAAATAAATAATTAATGATTACAAACAAGTTAACTTTACATTAAATAATATAAAGTGTATATATTGTAATAAACACAGATATAGAACATCATAGAATATTAAATAATTTTTCAATGTTTTGTGGTAAATAGAGGGACCAGATGTTGTTTGCACTATAAGTGGAATCAGATTATTATGTAGTAAGCGCAGCAAATCGGTCAGGTCCCCCGCGCTGGCGCAATGTCGCTGAATTTATCCGGCTCGAGGGACCAACGGCGAGAACGTCGCATGGCCCGGCCCATATGGCGGCGGCGTTCCACCATTCGGTCTGCGCCTGCGCTTGGCCGGCGTTCCTCGATCCACTCCGCTAGTCGGTACTCCGGTCCAGTAGCTCTCCGACATCGCTCGGTGTTGAATGTCGCACTCGTTGCGAGAACTTATCGTTACACATACGACGATTCATTAGTTTTCCCAGTAAGAAAACCAAGTGAAATAAAAGTTCGTGTGGACGAGTTATTTAATGGGATTTGGCACAAGTGTTTAGAACGGAGATTGTCTTTGGATATCGGTGAGTAATTATTCATTTTCTTTACATCGAACTTACAAACCGTTTTGTTTGTTGACATTGTTACATGTGATAATGGAAATTTAGCAGACAATTCGCTTAAGTATTTGTACTAAATGATGGAATACATAATTACAAGAGTCTCAATTGTTTCACTGTCATCTGTAGTTTTACTGTAGCTAAATGTTTTACATTACATTACACAAACATACAGCTAAATGAAATTCCGCTATTTTGAATCGGTCGCAAAATTTTATAAATACTACTACTGACTTTAATCTCAATAAGAGCATAGTACGTGATAATATTAAACAAAACTCTTGCAAATAGTTACGCTGAGGAAAACGGTTTATCTATATTCAATAGTCTATTAGACAAATTATAGGTGAATGAATAGCCAACCAACCAACATGATTTGTCTGGTGACGCAAGGACCATTTAGCTCATTACATGTTACCCTGTTGAAATGAGGAGGCCCAGGGCGCTTTTCCATTTAATACACAATGTTTATATTAACGGAAACAGATCTTATCTAGTTGGTATACGGACGGAATTCATTTGGCAGTAATTTACCTGGGTACCATGGTTTGATTGCATGGTTCACCGTGCAGTAATGGAAACGGATGCAAACACTAGCTCACCTGTCTGCGTTTAATATGTTTACAAAATGTTAATTACATAATTTCGGAAGTATTATATGGGCTTATAAAGTTTCTTAGTAAAACTGGTAGTATCAGTTATTGTCTTTATATTAGTGATACCTATTCTTGTGACTGTAATAAGTATTAAAAGATCCTGCACCTCGCAAAGAATTGCTTTCAATACACGCAGGTGTACCTACTTGATTATCACCAGGTTACACTTACGCCATTCTCTGTACATGCTGTAATGCTTCGGATACCAACATACTCTTAATCAATTTCAATTTGCTAAGTAGGAACGTTTGCATTGAGCAAGCTATTGCAATATTATTTACTTTTATTATTTTTTATTTTAATTAACTTTTTGTCTAGGTACAACACCTTTCTATACTATATAAATTTCATCTTTTTAAATAAGAACATTGTTTTTTATTTCAACTAATATTTCTGCAATATTTTTAATAAACTATAGATACTTCAAAAATACAAGTATACCTTTTAAAGATGATAGTAACTAGCCTATTATTTAAAATAATTAACAAATATTTACAACTATATTTTTACTATCCTTGGCTAATAAGCTATTTAAAAAAAATCTTAAAATCATTTTACAACATTCGCTAAAATTAATATAACTTATTTTACTTAAATTGTACTTTAAAATTTATTTTACAGTTTTAAAATGTATGAATACCTATTTTCATAGATATTAAATACTGAATTAATAATAAAATAAGGAATATTTGATTGACTCGTTGAAAATTCCGGTAATATTACGAAAATAATTTAAAATGATATTTGATTGTTTAGTTGATAATAAATAAATTATGTTAAACAAACTTTCGGGACTTTGCTGTTAGAGATAAAAAAAAAATCAAGTTAGATACCTACTTAATTTTTAAAATTGTTACATCGAAGCTAGTCCATCTACAGCAACGTCGACGTTATATCTCCATTTTTTTTTAAATAATTCTGTATATTTTATTCATGACTCAAAAAGTGCTATGTTAAGAAAAATAAAGCTGTCATTGACAATTGGGATTTACATAGTACAAGTATTTGAAAATAATTCAAGCATATCAGATTTTCAATAATAATTTAACAGTTGTCAATATTTTATTCAGAAATAGTATTATTTATTATGAAGAGATAACTCCGTCATTGCCATATTACGGTAAGTTTTGGAATGAACCCTCTTAAATACGCACCTTTTTGGGATAGGCGATAGATTGTGAAGAATAAATTGTATTTAAAAAAAAATTTTATCCACCTAAATTGGCCACTGTCGATCTTAAATTTGGGCAATCAATATTATTATTTTCTTTCCCGAATGCTATAAAAAATGTAACCGAATCGATCCATTTTCAAAAGAGTATTCTCCTTTCCTAAACGAGCCATTTTGGAGTGTTAAGCAAAATCGTGCACGGTTGAGATATAAGAATTTAGCACGATTACACTGTTATATTTATAAATTAGATTCACGAATTATTTTCTTAATAAGTGTATATTATCAAGATGCTAACAAGATGGTAATTTTAACACTGGATCTTCTCACCTGGTTAAAAATAGGCTGTATGTGCAATTTTTCATGCTTCAAGTAATATCCCTGATGGAATGTTAAAACACAATAAAAGATATGCAAATTAGATTTTGAATATAATGCTTATAATTTTCTGGTATTGGACCGTCTTTGTTTTACACAAATAAGACTGCTGACGTGGGTTTACTGATAAGCAACTTACTTCGAAGCACAAAGCAAGTGACCATCAATTTAAAAAAAAAAAAAACAGGAGTTAGAACTGCCGTGTAATCATGGAGATTTTGGTAAAAAAGTGGTTACTCTTGTTTATTATAACTTAATAGAATTGAATAAAATACGAATGTTGTATGTGGTCACACGAAAATTCATTGCATTAATAAAACTAAATTAATAGTGAGTAATAAATAAAGAACTAAAGAAATTTGAAAATGTTTCACATATCATAGGCACCGCTTTTACTATTACAATCACCACAAAAAATTTGGTCACGAACGACTTTACTTGATTTGTATTGCCAACATGCCGTAAGACTTTCGAACAGTGATCTTCTAACGTTAAGAAAACACGATAAACAAAATTTTTGTCATACACTTATATCAAGTAAAAGTGTATATAATATTGTTTTTTATCTATTTTTACGTAACTTGATGCATGCAACAAATATTAATGTAAGATTAAATCTGAATATTCAGCGAAATTGATTCTAATAATAATTTTGATATATCAGTTAGTACCCATTTGAAATGGATCATAATATATATAAAAATTTTTTTTTATACAACTTAGAATGGTAAACAAACTGACGGCCCACCTGATGGAAAGTGGTAACCATCGCCTATAGACATGAGCAGTACCATAGACATAACAGAGTGTACTGTTTCGCCCATGTTACCCCCATGCGTTGCCATTCCTGAGGACTCAGGTGTTATTCCTCTGTACCCAGTAAATTCACGCCATTCGTCACTCTTCAAACCGAAACACAGCCATGCAAACACAACTGCTTCACGGGTAAAACACGAATGGGACAGAGGTACGCAAGCAATTGACTTTACCTTTTGCACTGACTGTCAACTATACATATAGTACATATTATACTATATTTATTTATTTGCAACAACATTATTTATTTTAAGGTACACTTCACAAAAGTAAACAAAAATAAACAATGGTAAGGAGCCAAGTATATCGTGTCAAAAAAAATAGTTTAAAATTAATCCTAGGCTCCGAATCACTAGGAATTCCGAATATTACGGTTTAGTATTTTGTTTGAACATTTCGAAACAAATGATTAAACAGTATCGATGACGAACCTATTCAGATTGTTTACATTTACTGCAAATTTATTACAACGTTAATGAAGACAACGTTAGCAGATATTACTATATACATACATACAAATTGTATGTGAAAAGATGGATTCTGAACATTACATATTCTAATTAGGTAGCGTCATAGTGCTACAAAAATAAGCGATGCCATTGTTCTTAAATAACAAAGATAACGAATTGTTTTGTTTTATCGCTTCTGAAGTACGTTAGATATATATTTACGATGTATGTACATACATAACGTATATTTTAAGAACATTGAAATATAATTTAGTTTTCATATTCGACATATATTTAGTAAATAATAGTATCACGTCTTAATATTGAATTTAGTTATTTTATAATAATACAAAAAAAATCAAAAAGTCAAAAATTAATCATACGCAATAAAATGTAATCAATTAATGCAGTAAAACCTTCTTATTTTATGTATTGTCATTTTGATAAAATAAATTGTTTACTACAAGTCATAGGCAGTTATATTCGAGCATAGCTAGGTCAATAAGGTATTAAAGTTGATAAGTTTTGATAGAAAAATCGAACGAAAACACATTTCTCAAAGATGAAACCGTAATAGATCGATTCGTTACAATCATTGCATTCTCCATTCTTATGAATTGTTAGCCGCTTTTTAGAATGTGTTTACAACTATTTTTTTTTATAAACTAAAAACTTATATTCGATATTACTACACACAGTAATACTCTTATGACAAATTGCCCTGCATATAAAATAGAAAGGGAATACACATTGAATTACACAATGAGTGAAACTATTTCCACAAAGTACATGTTGCTAACGAGTCCTTTATTAATGCTAAAATAATAAGAAATAACACGTTCTCTCTTTATTTATTTATTCTAACGTTATTTATTAAAAAATATTAATAATTATGAAATGACATGAAATCACTGCATATGTATTTAACTAGCTTATATTTATACTTTTATAGAGACATCAGTGAAGTGTGAAGAGTTACAAGTAAATAGGAACGTACAATATTCTTATAGACATACTATTTATATAAGTTATACCACAAATGTATTATCTTATCAAATCTTTGATAAGAAGGGCGTATAACTTTTTCTTCCTCCCATATTTGTTATATATATATATATATATATATATATATATATATATATATATATATATATATATATATATATATTAGATTTATGATTATACTGGATATGGGATACTTAATAGCGATACTTAATTGTGTTTTCGTGAGTAATACAAAGTTCATTCATAAAGTATTTACATTAAAAGACAATAAATATGATTATATTAGTGAATTGCCAATCGTAAGTATACTATTTAAAATATTAATATATAAATATCTTATTAAGTTATATAAATATTTAAGATTTCTCTTTGTGAAATATTAATATTATAATTGGTATAATATTTTATTGTACCTACTTACTCTTAGAATATATAGATACTTATGCTGCAAATTAGATTTTTCAAGCTCGGCAAAATGTATTTAAATCT